TTCTCTGTTAGCCCTTAAAAACCTCTCCCTCCCAACATGCCCCAGTTCTGACAAAGGGTCGTGGACCCGAAACGTTAACTCACTTTCCTTTCTCCGTAGATGCTGCCTGACCTGCTGAGTGTTCCCAACGACTTCTGTTTTTGTTTCAGATTTCTAACATCTGCAGTATTTTGCGTTTTGTTCAGACAGACAATTAATTGCCTGACCTTGGCTTTTTTTTAAAGGAGCTTGGGGCCAGCATAATATGTATTCAGATATTACTCAGCACAGTATGTGGGCTTCAGAAAAGAAATTACATCCTCTATAGCAATTCATTGGCACAATTTCAGCGCGGCAAGATCCCACTTCTATCATTTTATCCTTAATTCTTTGACACCTCTAATTGAGCCAGTGAAGCACATTCTTCAGTGCTTATTAAATGGGAATGACATAATTGTGAAAATCCTTTGTGGTGGGTGTTTCAGCAGCTGAACAATCAATCCGTGTATCTTAATCTACAGAAAACTGGACATTTCATTTATTATGAAGCAAGAAGTCCGACTGACCAAGAATGGTGCTTACACAGAAACCTTTTAAACCAACTTAAACAACATCAATTTTATTCTATTGGGTTTGTTTCAAATCTGGTTTATAGCGAAAGAATATAGTTTCGTTTCCAGTTACTGAAAGGCACTTCTATTTTAACGATACCAAGACTAAGAGGAAAGAACAATTGCAGGTTATAAATCTCTAAATCACTTGCCAGTTCACTCTGCTTCAGAATGTTTCACCCTTGAGGTATTTTTGTCAGCTGGTTGTCTGACACATGTGGAAATCCATCACTGTGCTTAGGAGTATCCAAATCACACTGAGAGTTACACATATGTCATTGAGAGCACTGCCTGGCAAACGTCCCACTGCTTTCCCAGCTAGGACCACCCTTCCCATCAGGCCTTTGCCTTGCAACAACAACAAATTGCATTTATATATCACGTCAGCAAATCTTGACTGGACTGTCAAGATTTGCACCCAAGCTGAAATCAAGAGGGTTGGAGGGCAACTTGGGTGGGAGAATGTCTGAAGGGATGTTCAAAGAGGAAGGTCTTGAGACCTTCAGAATTATTAGGAGGTGAGTGGGGAGAATACCTGAACCCAGTCTGCCCCCCATATACTGCCGAAGAGTCAGGGTCACTGGTCTGTCATGAGCAGTGCCTTAGAGTGTTTCGGATCCCCCTGGTTTAACAACTGGACTATCGAGACTGCAAGAGTGTTGACTCCATTCTGACATTCTGTTGGCAAGTATTGCACCATGGAGTCAGCTTAGTTCCAAGGAGACCCCTTTACATTTCCTTCCACCCGTCTCCAAAGGGTAATTAGTAGTTGGTTATTTGGCATCTGATAAACTCAAGTTTGAGTCCTCACAAGGTGGATAGTAGGTACAAGGAATTCCCTGCAAGCTTCCTGAATGTGAAATTAATGCGAGCTTTGCCTCCCAATCTTGCTGCCCATCTTACTGCTCACAGTTCGAACACGTATTCCTGCCTATTGAGTGGTGGTTCCATCAGGTTACTGGATTATCTCTCCGGCAGGGCAAGCCCGCCCTGAGCCTGGTGACCAAGTAAGCTCTGTATTCCAGTATCTCCGCCACCTCTTTGTGAGGGCAGATCAAATTCTTCAGACCGGAAGTAATGCAATACCAATCTCAACCAACAGAGGGTTGAAAGCATAGTTGTTGCAAGGAGCTCAATCCTTCCCATAACAGTCCCTAAATTATAGGTGAGATTCTGTTGTATTCCACGTATCACGAGCAAATCTCAATAGGAGAACTTTTCTGGCATGTGCTTATGCAAGGAGTAACCAATAAGCCCGCTGGGAAGCTGGCTCCACCTCCAGGGTGCTTACTGAATTGGTGAAGGCCGGAGCCCTCCCTCCCGAGCAGTTGCTTCCCCTTTTTACGACAAATGCCTGATGCTGAACTTCACAAATGGGTTGAAGAAAATGTTGCAGTGCATGCCAGGATCTCGGAACCATGACTGAAGGGATGGTCAAAGAGGAAGGTCTTGAGACCTTCAGGATTTGAGATTCAGGATTTAACAGTTTGAGATCAACAAGGGAAAATCATAATAATATAAATACTAATCCTTGGATTTGATATAACAACAACAAAATTACATTTGTATTGCGCCTTTCATGTCATCTTTGAGATGTCTTAAAATGCTTCACAGAATATACTGTAAAGTGAATTGACTGTATACTTTGTGGGCGAATTGCGGCAGCCAATTGCGCACAGCAGTGCCCAACAAACAGTCATGGATTATTATTATTCTTGAAAGGATTTTTACCCCCGGAAAAGCGAACCACCAATTGACTTAACAACCGGGTTCCTACTTTCTGCTAGGTAAACAGGCGTATGGAGTAAGGAAACTTGTTTAAGGTCTTCACCCTGCTTGGGAATCAAACTCAGACGTTCTCACTTGCGAGGCAAGTGCTCTAACCACTGAGCTACAGGACTCCACAGGTCCTCTCATGACACTCCACCGCTCTTTGTGGTAACTCACTCCAGCTGTTGATTTCCCTCTGTGTAAACAAATACTTCCTGATGCCTGTTCTGAAATTGCCTTTCCATCCTTGAACCTGGGTCCTTTTCTCCTGCTGCCACAGCGTATATTCGTTAATCTTCCCTGGTAACATTTTCCAGAAGTCTATAATCCTTTCAGTAAATATGTTCCACCCAACTTTCTTACTCATCTCGTGTCCCCTTGTATTTGAATCCTTGGGCTGTAACCCAATATCTGTTGTAGTTTTCTTTGAGTGCTGCAGTGTAATTACTACAGATTCACTTCCATTTACAAATATTACTTACATCTGATCAAGTATTATTTTTTTAACCTTATCAACACGCTGTACGGTTTGAGTTACTGTGAAGTGTTTTGCAAGTAAAGATGGCAGGTAGTCTATCTCAGCAATATCGCAGCAATGGTAATAATTTGCATTGATATTTTAGATATGATTTCAAATAAACATCTTGAAACACTTTACAACATTAAATTGATGTTAAATTGATAGACATGAAATTAATGTTATATTGTCAAGCTTGGCAATTAATGAATGCCAGTAATGGCCCATAAACAACAATGAGGTGAGGTGAGTAGCCAATTAATTTGAAATTGGGGGTAAATTTGAATGAGAATTGAATAGAAAACAGTATAATTGGGAAAAATATTCCAAATTTCTTTGAAACAGGAGGAGGGTCCCTTTACCTCCATCTGAATGAGTTGAATGGCTTTTTCATCATCTCAATGTCTCCTATTTCAATAGAATAGACCTAACTTATTTTTAACCTCTTCTCTTGATTTTATTTCCTGATCTTTAGAATCAAACTGTTTGTTTGTTCTTTACCTTTTTACTTAAGTGTCCCTACTGTTTTAAGTTTATTGACATCAATGCTATCAATCCCTTTCATATCTTAACAATAAAACATGGGATTAATTATTGAAAGAACAGTGTTGTGTGATCACTTTTCATTTAAAGCATTTTTTACTAGCTAGCTGTGATTATTTGGTTCACCTGCTACCCTGACGTGTTGCAATGTATCACATGACTTGAGTATATTTACTGAGGCTTTGATGTCAGATAATGGAAGTGTAATGTAACATTTTATCTTATTGTGCTCTCTCCCAACTTCTATAAATGTCCACGTTCATTAGCTATCCACAGATCTGTTTTGAAGTGCCCTAAAGAGTTTTTATTTTATTTATGCTTATGTATGCTTGAAAGGATCACATAAAACTGAACTCTATTCAAAACACCATATTGGTTTCGGCATAAGTGACATTGCAGAGCAATTTAGTTAGACCTTTACCGATGTTGTGGTATGTTACTGGTCTCCAGGTTCCCTCACAGTTGCCTATGTTAAGAGGATTATGTTGAATGGGTTTAAAGGGATTCACAGGATTTTCCGTAATCTGGATGTAACTGCGTTTGTAGATGAACCTGGCAGCCAATTTGCACACAACAATCTCCCACAAACAGCCATTAAGTATTTATTTGAGGATTGTGGCCCCTGACCCTGGCACAAACTTCCTTCACTTTTCCACCAGTGCCATGTGATCCACCTGAACAACCAGATGAGCCTTTGTACAACATCTCAGGGATGGAACCTCCAAAAATGCAGCACACCCCCAACCCTGAATTGGAGTTTCAGATTATGTAACATTATGTGAGTTCAAAGTCCGGACCCAGGTCTTGAACTCACAACTTTCAGACTGAGGCAATAAACTAGCTAGGCTGACACTTTATTTTAGATGATTTAAAAAATTTACAAACACTGTATAGCATGGAAACCGGCTAGTCAGCCCAACCAGTCAGTGCTGGTATTTATATTCTACACAATTCTTCACCCATTCTTTCACCCAAGTCCAGCTTCCTATTGAACTCCATCCCCCAGTGCCTTCGCCTTGCTTCCTCCCTCTCCTCCTTCAAGGCCGGTCTCAAAACCTTTCTCTTTGACCTAGCCTTCAGCTCCCCTCTCGACTCTCAACCCCCTCCTCGATCCCTCCCTTCCCTCCCCTCACCCTGACCATTTCCCCCCTCCTCGCTCCCTCCCTTCCCTCCCCTCACCCTGACCATTTCCCCCCTCCTCGCTCCCTCCCTTCCCTCCCCCTGACCATTTCCCCCCTGCTCGGGTCATGACCCAACTGTGCAGCGCCTTGGGACGTCCTCCTGACGTGAAAGGCGCTTTATAAATGGAATCTTGTTGTTGTTGTTGTTGAATGCATCTACGCTATCAGTTTCAACCACTTCTTCAGACAGTGAATTTCACAGTCTCACTACCCTCAATGTTAAGGTGTTCCTCCTAAATTCTCTTTTTGGATCCCTATCTTATATTTGCAAGGATAAACTTGTGCGGTGGCATTTGCCTCCCACAACTGAAATGTTCTTACAAACTGTAAGAGTTTCATGAATTTAATAAAAGAGGAAATGTCAAAAGTACTGTATGTAATACTTTGTTTAATTTTCAGTCCAGGAAGAGTACTACAAACAGCCTTTGAAGTGTTGGAAGGTCTAGAATATATGAACAAATACCGAATGGTTCACAGAGCACTGGCACCTCATAATATTCTCCTGGATTGCGAGGTAAATCATTTCATCTTTCTTCCTTAATAAAGCTTACAAGGTTCACAAACTAATGTAATGAGCAGACTGTAGCAAATTGCAAAATCGGTAACAAATTAAAAGGAGGATTCTTTACTAGTTAGTAGCTGTGACTATCTGTAGGTGTCCTGGTATACTCGGACATGTTGCAGTATACAATGACAGTCTGTATTTACTTGTGTGATGTCTCGTGGAGCCTGGTACGGGAGAGGACGTTAGCTGCAGAGTTCTGAATGATTACGTTGTGTAATATAAAATTTCAGTTACATTTTCTTATTTCAGGAGCTTTTCAGTGATAATAGTATATCACTGGCCTACTGGCATCCAGAACTGCTGGGTTTATTTGGTCAGCTGGAAATTTGACACATGCAGAAACCCTGCTTCTGAGTATTCAAACCAGACTGAGACTAATATTTTCTTTTTTTTAAATTTATCAAACTTACAGTAGAAGTATTGGCTTGGATATTTTTAAGCATGGTGATGAGTTTCCGCAAGTTTCAGAAACCCAGCTGACTAAAATGAACTCACCTGTCGTTCATGAAATGACTGTAAGTGTCCTTGCACTTGATACAGTGACATTTCCATTGGGAACAAGAAGAAATTGCATTTATATAGCATCTTTCATGTTCGGAGAACATCCTAAAGCGCTGGACAATTGAGGGTTTGCATCTATCCTAGGGTTTGGATGGGAGGGGTGGGGGCCTAGGGTGGGGGGGGTGGGAGACGTGATGAAGAAGAAAGAGGTGAGAGAAGGTGCGAATTCCACAAAGTGGGGGCAGAAAGGCTGAACATCCACGCGCAAAAAAGGTTGAAGGTCCGAACAACGATGGTGTGCGGGTAAAGTGGGGGACATGAAGCAAGCCTGCCTCTGAGCTGAGGGAGCTGGTGGGTTGGTAGGATTTGAGAAGGTCACATAGGCAGGGTGGGACAAAACCATAGAGGGATTTAAAAGGAAGGATAAGGATTTTGACCTCGATCTTCTGGGGGATAGAGAGCCAGTGGTGCTGCGCAAGGATGGGGGTGGTAGGCTCTGATAGCCTGGTTAGGGAGAGCACACAAGCTGCAGAGTTCTGAATGGTCTGCATCTTATGGAGAGAAGAATTGGGAAGTCTGGCGAGCAGGGAAAAGCCTGGACATGATAAAAGCATGGGAAAACAGGTAGTGGCTGAAACAGGCAATGTTGGGGAGGTGGGAGAAAGCTAAACGGGTCAGGGGACAGATGTGGGGTTCAATGGACAGTTGAGATTCAAACAAGACACCAAGATTCAGCACTGGTTCTATGAGGTAGGGTGTGCATCCATGCAGATTAATGCTGTCAGCGCCTTGCATTTGATATAGCACCTTATCCTGCAGATAAATGTCAACAAGACGGAAGCCATACTGTTTGGCTCCCACCGACATCTTCTGTCCCACGGTTCCGACCTGCTCAACCTACCCGACCTGTCCTTAAAACTCTCCGAACCCATGCGCAACTTAGATGTTAGGTTCGATCCCCAGTTATCCTTCCTCCCTCACATCTGGTACCTGACCAGGACTGTTTTCTTCCACCTCCTCCACATTGCCCATCTCCGACAAAACCTCACCCCAAAAGCTGCCGAAACCCTTGTCCATGCCTTTGCCACTTCTCGGCAGGTCTAGTCTAACACCCTCCTCACCAATCTCTCCTCCTCCATTATTCACAAAATTTAGCTCATTTAAAACTCCGCCGCCCTCATTCTCATCTGCACCAAACTTCGTACCCCGATTACTCCAGGCCTTGCCAAACTCCACTGGCTTCTTGTCACAGAGTGGATCGACTTCAAGATCCTCACTCTAGTGTTTAAATCCCTCCATTCCTTGGCACTCACCTATCTCTCTAACCTCCTCTCTCCCCACAGCAGTACCCGCTGCCTCCGCTCTACTGGTTCCGGCCTCCTCTGTGTCCCCTGAATCCTCCGCTCCACCATCAGCGGCCGTGCCTTCGGCCGCTGATCCATCTCTCAACTCCTTCACCTCACCCCCTCCTTCCCCATCTTCAGGTTGCGCCTGAAGACCTTCCTTTTCGACCTCGCCTATGGTCACCTTCCCCTTACCTCTGACTTGGTCTCGGGCTCCACCATTGTCAAGCGCATGAGATGCCACCCGGCGTGGAGGGCGCTAAGTAAATGCAAGTTGTTGTTGTTGCATCAAAACATCTCATGGCGCTTCACAGTAGTCACTGCTACGTGTCGTGACTGTATATTTGTAGATGAATCTGCCAGTCAATTTATGCACAACCTATATTGTTGTTATATTTCCGCCACAAAATAGGAGGTGAATGACCCGTTTATTTGGAGGGTTAACAGCTTTTTTCAAATTGTCATGGGATCTTTAACATGCACCTGAACAGGCAAAACCTTGGCTTCACCTTCATTTGAAGGTCGGTACATTTAACATTCCGTAACACTAAACTGGAGTATCAGCATAGACTTTGACCTCAAAGTTCCTGACGCATGACTTGAACACATCATCTTCTGATCTAGAGGCAAGAATGCTACCAACTGAGCCAGGCTGACACTTTAATGATCAATTTAATGGCAAGTGAATTCTGGTAAACTATAGCTTGCGTGATCTGATGCAGAATATTCATTTCCCCAATATGTTTGTAATAATCCTTACTTAAGAAAAAATGTAAATGTTCAAATATCTTTACTTGAAACAAGGTTGCTTCGTGCTGTCATCTGTTGTCTAACCAGAATGTAATGTACAGTGGCCAAATCTGAATACCAGTTTGCAGTTCCCTGTTTCATGCGTTTCAAAAACATGCATTCTCTTTTAGTTCCTTGGCCGCATGCTAATTCTTTTAAACCTTTTGCACATGTCACCTTTTGATCCCGTTACTTAAGGGATTTGGATCTTTTAGCTCCGCTGCCTCCCCTTCCCCCAGCGGATCAAATTCAAGATCCTCGTCCTCATTTTCAAATCCCTCCACAGCCTCCCCACCCTATTTCTGCAACCCAATTGCCCGGCCTTTCCCTCTGCTCAGCAAACACTGCCTGTTTCATATCCCCCGTCCGATCCAACCCCTATTGGTGGGCGATCCTTCAATCATTTTTCGTCTGTTCTCTGGAACTCCATCCTGATCCTTCCTCTGTGCCCCTTAAAGTGGGATTTAAGATGGATAAAGAGAGGGTGAGGCGCAGGGATTGAAGCAGGCAGTTACAGAGGTTTAGGGGCGTAGTGATTGAAAGTACAGCTAATGATGGTGAGCATAAAATAATTAGTAGTTTTTAATATTAGTTTATTCCAGCCATGAGGAAGAGCTGTGCTTTTCTATTACCATTTGGATTTGTGAAAAAATGGTATTCCACTGTTCCCTGCCATCCTTCCAGCAGTAAGATACGAAACAGTCTCACTTTTTATTCCCCTCTAAATGTTCTGAAGCTAGACAATGATAATTTAACAAAAATAGTTCTTAAAGTATGTTAATGTGCGTGTACAAATAATGCACCTGATCACTGTAAAAATATAATATCTTTACAAAGCAGTTTTGTGTACAGGTGCGCCCATCTCCTGTAGCAATTGGTTATAAATGACAAGCTACTAATGTTCATCGTTGTATCCAGACCTCTATTCATTGGATCTCTGTTCTGCCTGATCCAAGAGTGGAGTGACTCAGGCAATATAACTTGGTGCTGTTTATGTGGAAGCTGTATAAATGCTTTAGAGGTGCTAAAAACTAGGTTTCATCTTGATCACTTTGTACTAGGCTCTTTAATGTGCTTACGGACTATCGTTATTGTCATAGACTATTACAGTGCTTGGCTCTAAAGAGGGAGCTGCCTGATTGTTAGGACAGAACTTTCAGTGGGAATTTTGCTTGGCATTAATTAATGTAGGGTTACTGCAGCACAAAAACAACTTGCATTTATATAGTGCCCTTCATACAGGTAGCATCTCAAACAAGAGTCAGAGCTTGTCACCGAGTCAGAAAGAAAAGAGGTGAGATGACCCCTGTTCTGCACCAAGTTGTACACCACCAGTAAATTATTTGTGCTGATGCTTCAGTACAAATAAATTACTGGTGGTGTACAACTTGGTGCGTTACAAGGAATTTGCCATGCTTAGAGACAGCATATTGCTGAGAGGGATGTGTAGCTTCTTGGATTATTTGAAAATGTCAGTGGTGAATGAGAAAGGTGTCTCACACATCACCTAGAATAAATGTGTTCCATTTACTTTATTCTTCAATGGACTATTTATATAGTCTATTTCTAACCTGCCCTTCCTCGCAAAAGTACTAGAACAAGTTGTTGCAAATCAACTCCACACACACCTCTCCTCCCACTCCCTCTTCGAACCCCTCCAGTCCGGCTTCCGCCCTGCCCACAGTACAGAGACTGTGCTTGTGAAAGTCACAAATTACATTCTCTCTATTTGTGACCAAGGGCTTCCTCTGCCTCCTTGTCCTCCTGGACCTCTCCGCCACGTTCGACACAGTTGATCATGCCATCGTCCTCCACCACCTTTCCTCCGTCATCCATCTCAGTGGGACCGCACTCACCTGGTTCGAGTCCTACCTCACAAACCGCCAGCAGTACATCTGCACAAATGGCTTCTCTTCCCGTTCTCACCCGGTCACCTGCGGGGTACCCCAAGGATTCATTCTTGGCCCCCTCCTCTTTCTGACATCCGCAGACATGGGGTACACTTCCACATGTATACGGACGACACCCAACTCTATTTTTCCACCTCACTTTGCGACCCCCAGTCCCCTGATGTTCTGTCAGCCTGCCTGTCAGACCTCAGCGGCTGAATGAGCGCAAATTTCCTTCAACTGAACATTGACAAGACGGAAGCCATACTCTTTGGCTCTCGTCAACGTCTAAAATCACACAGTTCTCACCTCCTCCCCCTAAAACTCTCCAAACCAGTACGCAACCTAGGCATCAGGTTCGACCCCCAGTTATCCTTCCTCTACCACATCCGGTCCCTCACCAGCACTGCTTTCTTCCACCTCCGACGCATTGCCCGTCTCTGCCAATACCTCACTCCAGAAGCCTCTGAAACCCTGGTCCATGACTTTGTCACCTCTCGGCTGGACTATTCAAATGTCCTCCTCGCCAATCTCCCATCCACTACCATCCATAAAATCCAGGTCATACAAAACTCTGCTGCCCGCATTCTTACCCGCACAAACTCCGCTCTCCGATTACCCCAGTCCTTGCCAGACTGCACTGGCTGCCTGTCCCAGAGAGGATCGACTTCAAGATCCTCACACTAGTCTTCAAATCCCTCCACTCCTCTGCACACCCTAACTCTCTGACCTCTCTGCTCACAACAGTGCCCGGTGCCTTCATTCCACCGGGTCTGGCCTCCCCCTTGTCCCCCGAGTCCTCCCGTCCACCATCGGCGGCTGTGCCTTCAGCCACTATGCCCCAAGGCTTTGGAACTCCCTTCCTCACTCCTTTCGCCTCACCCCCTCTCTTGCTATTTTCAGGTCTTGGCTGCAGACCTTTCTTTTCGACCACGACTTTGGTCACCTTCCCCCCTCCCCCCACCCCCCGCAGCTCGGCCCCGGGATCCATTACTGTGAAGTGCTCTGAGACGCCGTCCGGCGTGGAGGGCACTATATAAATCTGAGTTGTTATTGTTGTTGTTATATGTTATAGATTTCTCAGATAATCTCCCAGATAAAAGTGGTCATTCACTTCAAAACTGCTTGTGCGTCATTGCTGCATACAAATTGACTGCCGTTACATTCAGTTATACAAGACAGTCACTACACTTTACATTATATCCTGTGATGTGAAGTGCTGTGAGACATCTTGGTGATTTGAAAGATGCACTATCAAATGCAAAGATAATGGTTCTTATTGTTCCCTTTCCTTGTAAACTGTGATTATCATTTCCACTCCCCCACCCCTTCCCCCTGCACCACCATCTTGGGTGCTTAGCCAGCAGTGTGAGGGGCTTTGTGATATCTGAATGGTGATATATAAATTGTATTGAATTATCTCCTACTTTTGGCTCAGAATTGTTTTTAAGAGTCTAGCATCCAGTTATCAACAACAACTTGCATTTGTATAGTGACCTTCACGTGGGGTAGCTTGTTGGAGGGCTTAATCATTGCCAAGGACCTGTTTTAAGATTTTTTTTCTTATTATCTAATTGCAGAATCACGTCAAGCTGGCTAAGTTTGGCCTATATCACATGACTGGTTATGGAGCTGATGTTGACTTTCCTATTGGGTAAGTGCACGACGACGGCTGAAGAAGATTAACACTTTTTTGCTTTGCCCAAATGTTTCACAAATGTATCATAGGTAATTTAAAATGTCAAGGTGAACTTTCTGTCAGAATTCCTCAAGTCCTTTCAAGTCTTGCTGATGATCCAGGCTGGCTGTAATGTCATCAGCAGTGCCCTGGAGTACTGTGGACCCGCCTGATTCAGGAACTGGGCTACCAAGACCACCACAGAGGTTTGGCTTGATTCTGACATTTCATTGACAAATGCACCACCTTAGATTCAGTTCTATGGGAACCCACTACCTCCTCCCTCCCCTCCCCCCAGGAGGATAGCTCCAGGAAGAGCTGCACTATTGGCGGTACTGTCCTTTGGATGATGCAATGTTCTGCTTGTTGGTTTGTGTGAAAGATACAGATCCCAGGATATCTCAAAGAAGATTGATTCCTCTCAAATATTACTCTCTTATCCAAACCAAATTCCCTTTAAACAGATTAAATAGCTCTGCTAATGTAAATAACATTTATTTCTCACTGTTGTCCTGCATTATTTTTCATAGTTGTAGCAGAACCAAACATACAGTGGAAACTTCAGTCCAAAATATATCAGATGGGTGGATGGAAAAGCATCAGTCAGGCTAAAATGTTAACATAGGTTACAGTTCTAAAACTCTAATGAGGAAGCCTCATAGTGTTTTTGAAATGTTCTGATCTTTGCACTTTGAAGCCATCATATCTGTAAACGGTGTCAATTTACTTTAGTTGCCATCTGGGAATAATGATAACCCTGATCCACATCTGGAGAAATAATTATTCAAGCAGGAAGCACTTATGTACCTTTTGAACCAGTAGAGTTCTGCTCTGTTGCTAATGTAGGGCAACAAGAAGGAAGGGGAAAGGAGATAGAATCAAAGAATTATACAGCACAGAAGGAGGCCATTCGGCCCATTGTGTCTGTGCCGGCTCTTTGAAAAGAGCTATCCAAATCAATCCCACTCCCCCGCTCTCTCCCCATGTCCCTGCAAACTTGTACTCCCCAAATAATTACCTACTTGTCTCTTAAAAGTTGTTATCGAATTGGCTTCCATCACCCTTTCAGGCAATGCATTCCAGATCCGAACAACTCGCTGTGTGAAAAAATTTATCCGCACCTCCCCTCTTTCTTTTGACAACTATTTTAAATTGGTGCCCTCGAGTTACTGACCCACCTGCCAGTGGAAACAGTTTCTCCTTGTTCACCCTGTCGAATCCCCTCATAATTTGAAATTTTTTATTAAGCCTCCTCTTAACCTTCTCTGCTCCAAAGAGAATAATCGTAGCTTCTGTAGCCTCTCCTCATAATTGAAGTCCCACATTCCTGGTACCATCCTGGTAATTCTGCTTTGCACCCTCTCCAATGCCTTACATCCTTCCTAAAGTGTGGTGCCCAGAACTGAACACAGTACTCTAGCTGAAACCTAACCAGTGTTTTATAAAGGTTTATCATAATTTCCGGACTTTTCTATTCTATGCCCCTGTTTATAAAGTCTAGTATCCTGTATGCTTTTCTCAACAGCTTTATCTACCTGTCCTGCCACATTCATAGATTTACTTATATGAACCCCCAGGTCTCTCTGTTCCTTCACCCCCTTTAAGATTATGCCATCTATCTTATCCTCATTCTTCCCACAAAATGCATCACTTCACATTTCTCCACATTTCTCTTAACCTGCCACGTGTTTGCCCATTTCACTAACCTGTCTATGTCCTCTTGCAGTCTGCTAGTATCCTCCTCACTGTTTACTACTTTTCCTAGCTTAGTATCATCTGCAAACTTGGAAATTGTACTCCCTAGAACTAAGTCCAGGTAATTTATATAGATCAAAAAGAGCAGTGGTCCCAATACCGACCTCTGGGGGACACTTCCCTCCAGTCAGAAAAAACAAACATTTTTCTCACTGGAGACATGGAGAATCCAAAGATATCATCCTACACTTATAAAGGGAAAACATTTGTGGATGGGAGGGTAGAAGAATGAAACCAAAGCACTAAAATATAAAGAGGAGGTTAAGAAATGGATTGCTCCATCTCGAAAACAAAGTCTATATTACATCTGTCATGTGTACAGTACATGTTGTGCTGAAGCTAAATTGATTCAGCCTATTATTGTGTCGAGTTGCACCTTTTAGAGAACTTCATTCTATTGAGGTACAATAATGATCACACCAGGCAGGCTTCATGATCCAAACAATTGCTGTCACTTAATCCAGAATAGGATATTTATTTGGAAATTCTGTGTCCATTACATACTGTATTATTAACTATACCTCAGCAAACGATTAATCCATCATTTAATAATATTATTATTATTTAAGTAAGTAATGGTAACATAACATGTAGGAGCAGGAGTAGGCCATTTGGCCCTTCGAGCCTGCCCCGCCATTCAATCATGGCTGATCGTGGTGTCATGACATTTCACAGGAACAGGGCAGACCGCTGTTCGGGTGTTTCCTTTGAAGTGTAGCTATCAGTATTTTGTCATTGGAAACATGCCCAGCACACCTGAAGGTTGTTTGGCATTGGCACTTGAGGCTGCAAATGGCATTTGTGTAAAAGCATCCAATTTTACTGAAGCTTTTGTGAATAAGATGGATTCTACTTTGAGATCAGCAGCTGTGATTGACAAATTCCATTAGACCAATTAGACTCTAAAGACAAGAATTCAAAATATTTTTTCAGTAAAAATAATTGTGCTGGAGAATTATTTTTCATAATTGTTGCAATCAACTATTTGGAAATCATCTTTATAAGCCCATTTACATTTTTAAGCAGCTGTTCAACTTGCTTCAAATGTTCTGTGCCTTTGGGGTGATGGACTGCTGGCTGATCTCAGCGATGGAGTAAAACTACCAGTTAATGTGTATTTATTGGATTGTTTTCAGATATGCTTCATACTTAGCACCTGAGGTCATTGCGGAAGGATTGGTGAAGCCCAGCGATCACACTCAGAGCGAGAGGTTTTTACCCTCAGGCCCCAAAGCTGATGTGTGGTCCCTTGGTGTGATACTCTTTGAACTTTGTGTGGTATGTTATAAACCCATCTTTTCCATCTATATAAAGAGGGATAGCAAATTCTTATACAAAGTTTCTGATCATGAGGATGTAATTTTAAACCTGAGCTTTTAATGTCGAGGAGCCCATCAGGCAGCTTAAAGATCAAAACTTTCAATTACAGAAGAGTGTTAAAGTAACAAGTTTTAAGTGTGACATTTAAACTGTGATCCCGGACGGGCATAGAGAGGTAATAGGCCCCAAACAAGATAAGAGATTAGAACAATATTCTTCTTCCATTCACTCCCTTCCCACACTCAAAGTGGTACCTCAATTAGCCTTGAGAGCTTAAGTGACATGTTGTGTGAAAATCATTCGTAGAATAGGCTTGTTTGACAATTCGCGTTCCCCAGTTATGTTTTATTTGAGGACATGGTACGATCGAGCACTAAAAGCAATTTCCAGCAAATTCAAGGAGTAAAAATCATTCGTACCATGAGTTAACCCTTGAAATTCATTATAACAAATCTTCTGAGATAACCTATTTCTCTGATCCACTTTCCCTAAATCCCACTAAACACAACATTGGTGCAGTCTGTGAACAACAGTATGAGCAATAGTAGGAAGTGGTAGGGGTTAACCTTCACATGTTTTACTGTAAGATTCCCAGAAGCAGCACAAATGAAATGCACGCAATAAGGTATGTTTAATCAAATTTCCAAATTCCAATTTGGCAATTCCAACCTGTCTGGGTCTGTTTGATTAGGATACTTTCAATAAATAATTCTTTCTTGTGTTATAGTCTATAAAAACGTCCCAGGTAATTTTGTTTGTTACTAATACCTTTAATTAAAAGAAGCAATGAATCACACAGTGTAACGTCAGATTTTTCTAAATAAAAGTAAATGTTTGAATTATTTCCATTGTTTAAATGGAATTGGATGCCTGTTTCTTTGAGTACATTTCAGCTTTTTTTAACAGAAAGTGTGACTCAATACTTCTCATTTGTCTCCTTTTTATATTAAGCATTGGTCACAATGTGGAGACCGAATTTCAGAACGTGCAGTCCAATAGCAGTAATAATAATAATAATAATCATTCTTTTATTTGATATCGCGCCTTTCACATCAGGAGGATGTATCGAAGCCCATCGCAGGATTTGCTGTAAAATGAGCTGTGTGTTTTGTAGGTAAATCTGGCAGCCATTTGTACACAACAATGGCCAACAAACAGCCATGAAATGAATGACCAGTTTTATCTGCGAATTATTGGCTAGGATCCTGGGCGAAACTCTTTTCTCTTTTTGAATATTGCCATGGGATGTTTTTAATGTTCACCTAAATAGACAGACAGGACCTCGGTTTAACATCTCATCCGAAAAACAACAATGCAGCATCCTTCCAGCCCTGCAGTGGAGTCAAGACTGTTTTTCAAATAAAGTATATGAGTTCAAAGTCTTTTTAATAGGCGTTAATATTTGGACATTGAAGCATAGAGGAATAAAAACAAATTGACAAACCAGAAGTTCACACAGCAGTGTGAAAATCTCTCTATATATATATCAACACTTTACAAGGAACATATTGTATTGGGAAGAGTGCTGTCTGTGGGGAGGAAATTTCATTCCAATTCAATCTGTGAAGTTTGTAATTGTGGCATAAAATGTGAAACACACAGTTTACAGATGGATGGGAGGTTTCTTTTAGTGGAGGAAATAATTTCTGTACCAAGAATTTATATGTTGGAAACAATTTGTTCCTTTGCCAAAAGTTAAACTTCATAGCCTAGGTTTAGGAACTGTCTCCTGTGTCTAATAATCTTAAAAGAGAATGTAATCCATAAAATTTTTGGATTTCTTACAATCATCTTCTCTTGCTCATTAGTTAAGATTAGTTGAGTACAGTTTGTAGAAACAGTGAAGAATTGAGGCTTGGACGTAGACTATACAAATAGATGCAGAATAAATGTGTTTGCTGGAGAAAACGATAATGTTACAAAACAGAAGCCTTTATTCAGAAAAGAAGGCAACTGTGACAACTGAACAGTCATATGGTAAAGATTACAGACAATTAGTGATGGGAACAGTCATGACATGCTGAATATATTCTAACCACATGTGGTGAACAGGCTTAACGTGGTTGTGGCTGAGTTCTACCAACACAGTGATCACTGCATCTCTTCTGTTTTTCATATTTTAATTATTGCTATTCTTTTTAAATTTACATTCAGTTCCAAAAAAGAAAGAAAATGCTATGATGGGGGTAAAATTCGTATGGTATTAAAACAAGTGCGTGTGTGTGTGGTCCTTTGTTTTAAATTATTTGTATGCTGTTCAAAAGTGCTTCCCTAAAGTTCAATTGGGTAAACAAGTTGTCATTAGAGATCATTTTGGGTGAAGAAGAGAGGAACTATTGGCTGTATCCCATTGCCTTTATCACCTGGATACCTGTCTTCAGAAATATTGTCCCAGATTCAGCTTATTTCACACACATGATGCAAATTGTTGATGAAAGACCTTATTTGTTAAAAAGATCTGTTTAGTTCTGATTTGCTTGCTTTCTTTGTTTAGGGTCGTAAACTGCTTCAAAACTTGGGCATTTCCGAAAGGCTAAGATTCATTCTAAATCTAGGTAAGCTGTATGTCCCAATGTGTTATGTGTTGATTTTTATAATGTACCATGGTGAAAGGAAGTACCTTGTCTCACTGCTGGTATGTTTTGCAGGTTGTGTAGATGACATTAAGACTGTAATGGCAGAAGAGCATGGCTGCTGTGAGATTATTAAGGTTTGTTGTCGACTTTGACTTTAAATTTTTACCAATGTATTTAGTAACCATTTTAATATAAATTTTACTGCACAAAGGCTTGCAAGTTCCCTTGGGGGTGATGTCAGTGAAATAATATTGACTATTCTAATTTTCTAGTGAGACTGAACATATGCTTAAAATTATCTACAATAATCAATACGTCGCAAGTCATGACAATGGCAGTTTACACAGAGCTGAAACTGAACTGATCGAAAGCTAATCCAGTGATGTCAAACTGAGCACAGAATGTGACCATTCGGAAGTGGATGATAAAAGGGAATTATTCTGCTGTTAAGAATTGAATCTTGAATGACAGTGGGTGAAAAATACAATGCCTGATAATTATGACATTGCTGATAATTGCAGCCCAAACCAATTGAGAATTCAGCACAACAATTTTACCTGAAGCCAAACCAAAGTGCTGACACTTATATTCTCTCTAATGAACAGGCTGCTTCTCAGGATATCTAGCTCAAGCTCCCAGTGATCATGATCAAATCACACACTGCCATTTTCATCAATAATTCTACAAAACCTAGCAAATTTTGGTGGGCATGAAAACGTAATTATTTTACAACATAATGACAAATTACATTTGTATAGCGCCTTTCATGTCGGGAGGACGTCCCAAGGCTCTGGACAATCAGGGATGTGGACCCGAGCAGCAGTTTGAGATCAGGGAGGGTGGCCGAAGGCACGGTTGAAGAGAACGTTCTTGAGACATGCCTTGTAGGAGGCAAGGGAGGGAGCGAGGTGGAGGGATTGTGGAATGGAGTACCAAAGGGTGGGGGCAGAGAGGCTGAAGGCTCGATCACCATTGGTTGGGAGGACCATGCCGGGGACGTGGCGCAGGCTGGAGCCAGCAGAACAGAGGGAGTGAATTATTTCCTTGGCTAATTTCATTGAAATAATTCCTCACTCGCATGATTTGTAATTTTTTTGTGTACCTGGCTGTCAAATTTATCACTTGTTTCCATCTTATCAAAGGAATTACCCAGAGATGTTTTAACACTGTTGGGAAAATGCTTCACGTATCACCCTTCTAAAAGGCAAGTAATGTACTTTGACCACTTCAAAGAAAATATTTTTATTGTTTTTAGAATGGTTTTAAAAAATAGAAAGCGTTCCTTGTGATGTTTGCTTTACAAATGCAATCTTTTTTTTCTTTGTATCTGTGAAGCGCTTTGATACATCTAGAAGACGTGAAAAGCGCTATATCAAATGCAAGGATTATTATATATATACTAATTGCTGTTGGTTTATTGTACATCAAACTGAGGGATGATACCTTGGGATGGGTGCCACTTGACACTAATTAAAGTTGCGCTCATTACCAACAGCTCCTTCCTTAGTTCACAGGCAAGGTCTCCTCCTACTGCCAATTGTGGGAAAGACCATTTTTCTACAGTAGTAAAGATTATAACATTTATTTTGAAGTAATAAAACTATATCCACTAATATTCATTGCAGGCCCTCCCCAGCTGAACTGCTGCATGATGAGTTATTCAGTGAAGTGTCTGGTTTATACAAACCATATTGCAAACCCGTCAGCCTATTTTCATCCTCTCTGCGTTGTGCTGATCTAATTATTCCTGAGGACCTGGGAACTCTCTGTAAAGGTAATATTTTCCTGAAAACCCATGATATCCCAGAAGCACAATACTGTACTGACCAGCCAGCTTCCAGCACTATAAAATGATTGCCTTTTGGGTCATCATGTTGCACTGATGTAATTTCCTGTGTGTTGTACATCGGCTGCCCACTGACAAGCTTTCCTGCAAAATGATTTAATGGGCATAGGAAGTGCTGCTAAATCATTTCCCGAGCGCTGATGATATGGATGTTACTTTGCAATAATCAGTGGTGTTTTTTGTGCATGGCATGTATGGGTGGCACTCAGGACTTGACTTCAGTGACTCTTGACATGGATGATCTGCGTGAAGTGGTGTCGGATGCTGTGAAAATGAGAAGCAAGACTTCTTTCGACTTCTTCCCCACAGACCTTAATTTTTTGTATCAAAAACGCTGCTCACATTATACAGAGGTCACCCTGTGCTCGTTGGCAACAAATTTGAATGTCTACCATTTAATTTGCTAACAAAAGGTGTACTGACTTGAGGGAAATTGTGCAAGGCGGTCGTATAGAAATTTAACATTTTGAATTGTGGAAACCTTCGAACCAGTATCCCCAGGTTTGGAACGGTACAATATTCTCTTTCAATTGTTATTTTTCTGAAGGTGAGGAATATCTTTTGGAGCGGTCTATTGCCGAAGTCTATTATCTGTGGTGTTTGGCTGGCGGAGACTTGGAGAAGGAACTTACGAACAAAGGAATAATTCGTTCGAAACCACCCATTTGCACTTTATCAAAGTAAGTTGTGAAGTTTTAATGGTCTACCTGTGTTTTGTTTACCAGTGGAGCCCATTTATTATAGTTTGGCCCTGTTACAACGTGCTTCTTTATAGGGCCAGTGCTGTTGTAACATGGTTACAATGTGGGCTCCATTCACGATGCTTATGGGTCATCATGCTAAATTGATTATTGTTACCTTTTACAGTTCTTCTGTTGAAATGCACTTTTACTGCTCCTTGTCTTTGTTCCTGGCTTACATCACTATATTTCTATTTGCTTCGTTTTAGATTAATCAGGGCAACAGTTTGATGTGTTTATGGTATGTACTGGGAGAGCCACCAGTCCGATTCTGTCCCTGTGATGAATGAAAGGCTTGAGGAACTGGGTCTATATGAGGGGGGAATAATCCCTTCAGAAAATAAACAAATCTTTTTTTTAAACATTTGGTTACTCAATCTATGACTGCTTGTGAGACACTGCTTTGCGCAACGGCTGCCGCATTTCACATACAAAATATACAGTCAATTCACTTTACAGAATATCCTGTGCAGTGCTGAGAAGTCTTAGTGACATGATAAGGTGCTATAACAAATGCAAGGATTATTATTATTATTATTATTGCGGGAACAGAGGAAACTCTGAGCTTTTCTTGTCAAAACCTTGCCTTTCTGCAAGGAATTCACCTAATTACAATATTTTGGTCTCTTTGGCTTTTCACTTTGGGTTGGGGGAAGAAGGAAGAGAGCAACAACTAGATGACTGATAACCAGAGAGGATGATTTTCATATTAGCCGGGAAATAGAGCTAGAGAGATATTCCAGGAATCGATTAATAGGTGTCTGGGCTTTTTTCCACTCTTTGTGTATCTATGTGTATATAAGATAACTAATTGTGCATGTTCACAATCAATCACCCCCCCACTGCAGTCTGTACAAGAGCAGTCCAGTATACCTAGTCAAAGGCTATGGTGACCTGAATTGAATTAGCTTTGGATATTACAGCCATGTTATAAAGTAAAAAATAGGTGTTCACATGTCCCTATATACAGTGGAAGGCGGTTACCCCGGACACATCGGAGGCAGCCAAGGTTAGCCAAAATACCATTCCTGTCAGGCAGAGGACGTCGCCAACACCATATAATATATAATAATGTTGTTTCACCTGAAGCAATGTTAACTAACCAAACATAAAACTAACCAAACATACTCAAGATGCCAAGCATTTTAACCTGGGAGTTAAAGTTAAAATCCTGTACCTCCCAGAATTCAATAAAATACATTTATCTTTATTTGGCTGCAAAATACCAGCAGAAAGCAGCAGCGCTTCCTCCCATTATATAAAAAAGATATTTCCCAACTTTCACCACATAAATTCTGGTATTTGTTGAACCCAAATTTTCAATTTGTATTTGTTAGGCGGGTTTTCTTTTAAATCAGACTCCTATTAATGAAAGGTTATTAAGCTTAAGAGTGAGCTATTCCATAAGGCTTTATATACACGTTCAACATTATACTAGTAATTATAATGTTTCCTTTGTGTGTTTCGTGATAGGATTAATGTTTCTCTTGAAGTCATGAGGCTTTATTCTTTACAGATGTTTGTTTCAATTTTACAGGATTTTAATCTTTTTTAGGTCTTTTTTATGGGAACTTTTATTATTTGAACTGTTTTCTGTCTCTCAATATAAATACGCTAAAAGATTGGTTCATCTTCAGAAGAAAAAATATTCCTAGATTAAGTGGGTGTAAATATAAATGGAATGCATTGGGGTAATGTAAAAAATCAGTAGCCGACAATAGCAGCCAATAGTGGGCAGTGGTAATAATACATATATTTATTCATTTCAAAATGCTGCCAAGGTGGTGTTTCACTCTCACTTCTTTAGATTGGGTTTTTATTTTATTTTTAATTAAAATAAGAAACATGGAATTACAATTTATAAAGAAAGTGCCTACTTATAGCAACTTGTCACATCAAAATGTCTCTAAAAATCATTTGTGACTGCATGCAAGCAAACGTAACAACCATTTGCAATTTCTTATTCTATTTTAAAATTAAGCTCTTCCTTTGGTTCATGTGAAAGTGATTTTTGATGTACTCTTGGGTTTCAGGTATTGACTAAAATCCTTCACTGTCATTAAAAAAATGTTTATGAACATTTATAATGCTTGACTGTTGTAGTGCATTGTGAAAGGAAAAGGGAGATTCTCCCAGTGTCCTGCCCAACAATGCCAGATTAATGGGTCATTCATCTTGTGGTAGTTAATGGTACCTTTCTGCTGCAAATGGTTGCCATGTTTGACTGCACTAAACTTGACAGTAATTATTTTGAAAAGGTTTTGATGTTCTAAGTTACTTTAAGCACGCAATTTAAAAAAAAATCTTAAAGTTTAGAGGAAGCTTCAGAGTAATAATGTGCATAAGGATAATAATTCTCCTCCACTCTAAACCAAAGGGAGGACACAACCCTGAGCTTTTATCAGTTTGCTTCTGACATTTTGTACACTTTAAGAACGTTTCACTTTTTAATCTGAACTTCATTTAAGCTTTATACTGGAAGATGGAGAAAGCTTTGGACAAGGACGGGATAGAAGTTTTCTCTTGGACGATACAACAGTAACACTGCCGTTATGCCAACTCAGAAATGTAAGTGCTTCTTTGAAAGTGTTTATATCCCCTTTATCTTAACTAACACAAACTTCTGTTTAAACTTACCCACTCGCCCAATTGATTAATACTGGGACCATTATGAAGCTTTCAGTATCTCATGATGTGAAAGGGGTTGTATAAATGCAAATTGTACCAAACGGATTGCCCAACTCATGGAGCAAGGGGTCCTCATCCCAGGCTTCTGGCTCTGACCTTCTGTAATCTGTTTCTCAAAGCATTGGAATAACAGTCAAATCACTTTTATGTTTGCAAAGTACTGCTTTCTGCTCAGCACTTTCCCTTGATTCTTCCCATTGAAGCCAGTAACTCACCAGCCTCAGGTTATCAGAAATAATGTATGACCTACTACAATACTATATAATGCAGTGAGTTTGATCACTGTGCACTTTGTACTAAGGTGCAGTGAAGAAGCTCATTTTTCTTCCAATTTCTATCTCAGTAGTTCATCGTTATCAGTTGTTGGACAAAGCTGCTTTGGCCAAGAGGAGTTGGACCCTTCTCCAACTTCGATGTGGGGTTTTTGACTGAGGACTGTTTAAACTGGTTGGGGAATCAGTGGTGTATAACCAATAGTCTAGCAATGATGACATGTACATTCAGAATATGAATTCAGTATTTCAACCTTTCTTATCCTAGAGACTGAAAGATGTTGCTGGAGAAGCATTCTATCCTCTGCTGGAAGATGAGTGAGTAAATGACTTGCATAGATACATAGGCATAGAAACAGGGAGATCCTCCAGCCACTCTGCCCCTAACCTCTGGAATTCCATTCCCCAATCACTCCGCCTCACCCCCTCCTTAGCCTCTTTCAAGTCCCGCCTCAAGCCCGTCTTCTTCGACCATGGCATCAGCCACCCCTCTTCCCCTCCCTCCCTTCTCCCCCCTGAACCCAGGTCGGGTCTGAAATGCTGTACTCTGTCCAGCACCTTGGGACGTCCTCCCGACATGAAAGGCGCTATACAAGTGTAATCTTGTTGTTGATGCAGGCTTTTAAGTGACTTGAGCCTGTTCCTCCATTTTATATGATTGTGGCTGATCTATACCTCAAGTCCAGTTACCCACCCTTGCCCCATATACCTTAATACCCTGACCTAATATTTATCTACCTCCATCATGAAAATGTGAATGGATCCAGCATCCACAGCCTTTTTGGGGAGAGAGTTCCAGATTTCCACTACCCTTTGGGTGAAAAACTGCCTCCTGATTTCACTTCTAAAACGCCTAGCTCTAATTTTAAGATTATGCCCCTTGTTCTGGATTCCTCTACCAGAGGAAATATTTCTCTGCGTCTACCCTATCAAATCCCTTCATTATTTTTTAAAAAATTGTTGATCATTAAATAAATACACTTATTAATCAACAGTAAACAATACAAGAGTGAGTTTCAAAGTTGGGGATTCAGGGTAACACTGGAAACTGCACAAAGACATAAGAACATAGGAAATGCTAGCCCAAAGAAGACAAAGGTCCATCCAGTTCACCTTCCACGATCCTGGCAGTTGCATGCATATGTCATACCCCAAACTAAATACAGTACTGTATCCAAAGATATTATTTCCTTTTGAAAGAATCACCAAAACAAAAAAATCAAACAATTTGTGAGTGACCACTGAACTCTGATACTCAATTGCAAACTTCCTTTGTTTATTCTCTAATCTGTAGATTAATCAGCACCACAAGACCTTCCTCAACTGAAACGTTCTGGTAACAGGTCACTAGAGCTCTTGATAGACTGTTCTAGGAGGTGTGTCATTGTGACACTACCCTCCTTGAGGGGGAGGTAAGCAGGGGTCTCCTTTGAACTGAACTGGCACCATGGTGACATGTTTGGCAACCAAATGTCAGAATCCAGCCTATCTTCTATGACGGTCTCAGTTATCAGACATCTCGAATACATGATAAGGCGCTATATCAAATGCATGGATTATTATTATTATCATCCATTTCCTGAGCTAGATGGGTCCACAGTTCTCCAAAGTACTCCAAACCCCTAACATGTAAGGAGGTGCTGGCTGTACAGCAGTGGGAAACTTGCCAGCCAATGCTCTCAATGGCAAGCTATGCAGTTATAGCTGGTTAAACTCTAGCAGTGCCCAATGCACAGTATAGGGTTCCCAAGGTTTGGATCTTACCAACCTGCACCTGATATTCTTTGGAATTAAGTAAAAGGGGCATATTCCATTCCTGACGTGGGAATTTCCACGTGTAGGCAGCATACATTGAACTCTCGGTTTCCGCAACTGTCAGTCATTCAGCTGGCCTGACAAAGGTAGAAAAATACACATCCACAAAATATTTGTGACTTGCACTTCACCAGATCCTGCATCTCTTTGACAAACTTGTGTTGTGAAAGATTTGATGTAAAGTACAACAAATCATTGTGTTTTTCAGGCAGTCCAATATGTCACCTTCAAACAGCAACCATGATCTATCTGCATCAGCCACACTGCCGCTCATCATTCGTGAGAGAGACACTGAATATCAACTGCACCGAATCATCCTTTTTGACAGGTTACTGAAGGTTGGACTCAAGTTGTTGCTAAATCTTCTGAGCAAAGCCGTGATATTTTAGCCATGTCTTGATATTTATCATTAAATTGTAATAAACATGTTAACATTTTTACAGGTAGATATATTGAGACCGAGGAATCAGAAAAAAAATTATCAACTTGCACTTACCTAGTGCCTTTGAACATAGATGGAGTGACTCAAAGAAACTTGTGGGAGCCTGTAATAGTGGGGTAGGGGGAGATAGATGAAGGTCAAGGAGAGAAGTTTTAAACTGGTTTGGAAGAGGAGAGTGAGTGAGTGAAGCAAAGAGATTTCGGGAGGAAGTCCCAAATAGTGGGGGCAGAGTGAAAGCTAAAATAATATTAGGTATGAAAGAAGGCAGAGATGAGAGCATATACACATCTGAGGCATGCCTATATTCTTTCTGCAGGCCTACCCGTACAAGAAGATTCAGATTTGGAAAGAAGCAAGGGTTGACATCCCGCCATTAGTGCGAGGCTTGGCCTGGGCTGCACTGCTGGGGGTGGAGGTAAACAAAAAGAAATTTGTTTTAGATTTGTTTTTCATATGCTTTTATTTTCTACAAAATCCGATTCCCATTGAGATTCTTCAATTAGGTCTGTATTTAGTGCAGCTGCTGGAGAATAGTGCAGCCAATACTCCAGAGGCTACAATCTTTGTCTTAGGTTTATATTCTAAGCCAAAGATTATAGCCCCTGGAGCATTGGCTGTACTTGGGGATTTGTTAAAATGCATTGGCACATGAGTAAAGGAAAGTTACTTCTTTCCATTATAATTCATGTGCTAAAATACTGTTGGCGTGATAAATGCCTAGAAGTCTACTGTGGGGGGAGCAGAAATCTATTTTAATAAATTCTTACCCAACCAGAAAAGTTAAGTTTAACTGGGGACATTTAGTTGAAATGAACTACTCTTATCTGACGATTTAAGTGGTTACATATCAATTTAATTCAATTAAGCTTTGATTTCTCCCCAATCCCCTTTGGTCCGTGCTGAGCAAAGACCCTTAACGTTTGAAGTCATTGTATAAGTAATGCGACAACATCAGACAGGTTGGGGATTTTGAGTGGTGGCTGTCTCTGCAATCTAATTCCATAATGTAAAAGCAGGATTTGTTTACTTGATCAGGTTTTACTCAGTCTAATTTAGCATCCATGCCGAACGCTAGCACCACTGATGACATTTTAAAGTTTATTTCTTGGGATATTTTGTGCCATTTTTCAGTTCTGATAAACTCATTTGCTGTTGCTGCCTGGGAATGGCTGTGTGAAGCTACAGAGGAAGCTTGTGGTTTCCTGTGGTAGGGAATGGAACCTGAATGAAACCCCATCACAATGTTCAGTAGCTTGCTGTTAGACCTGTTTCTTCAAAATGCTCACCACTGTCTCCATCCCTGCTGGCTGTTAAAGCACCCTGCTATTTTTACTTCATTTCCTTTGTACTAAATGTATTTCCACTTGTGTGGTCAGTGCTAGCAGGAATCTCTTTAGGAATGCTCTCTGCTTCCACTTGGCAATAAGCCATTATTGTACCCTTGGAGTGAAGTAATAGCTGGAGAGTTATCACATGCAAGAGAATAGGTTACATTGTTTTTGTGATTGACTACCAGCTGTGGCCTTCAGTGAGTTTATTCAGCAGGTTGTTCCCCGCTGATGTTATATAGCAATGACATATGTAAAAGCACTCAAAGCTGTTCCTGGAATCTATTAACAAGGTGCACTGCCAAAATGGAGCAATGCTACCTCGTTGTGACGCTAACCTCGATTTAGAGTTTCACCTTATTGTCGGTTGGTACTGAGAAAAGCTAAAGTCTACTTTTTTTGCTTTTTTTTGTGCCATCGAAGGTTTCCAGCACAGAAAAACTACATTCAGCTCACCTCGGCTATTCTACTGCTAACTCCACTATCGGTGTTATTTGCTCCCATTTCACTTCCTTGCTCTTTCCTACACTTCAATGTTATATGCCCACAAATATTTATCCAATTCTTTTAAATGCTGTTGGACATGACTGACAAATGGATACACAAAAGCATTCCATATTCTAACCAACCTCTGTATGAAAATTATTTATTTTAACCTCCCTATTTATTATTCTGGTGATAAGCCATAAGGACTCTGGGATGCAGTTCCAGAGATTGATGGCAGAAAGGCTGAAGGCCCAACTGCTGATGGTATTCAAAAAAACGAATGGGATTTTGGCCTTTATCTTAAGTGGGACAGAATACAAAGGTGAGGAAATGATGCTTCATCTTTATAGAGCCTTGGTCAGACACAATCTGGAGTACTGCGTTCAGTTTGAGCATCGCACCTTAGGAATGATAGATTGGCCCTGGAGGGGGTGCTGCGCAGATTCACCAAATACCAGGGCAGGTACCAGGGCTTAAAAAGTTAGATTATGACTGGTTGCATAAACTTGGTCTGTATTCCCTTAAGTTTAGAAGGTTGAGGGGTGATCTAATTGAGGTGTTTAAAATGCTAAAGGAATAGGGTAGATACAGAGAAACTAAACTAGGGGAATCCAGAACAAGGGGGCATAATCGTAAAATTAGAGCTTAGGCCATTTAGGAGTGAAATCAGGAGGCAGTTTTTCACACAAGGGGCAGTGGATATACTGTACATAATTGTCAATACTGAGCAAACAAAAGTGATCTGTGAGATCTCTTTTCATAGGTCGCCAAAGCATGTGCTTTTGACTTTTCTACGGAGGAAAAGGACAACGTGGAATATAGTTTCCAACCAAAATAGATGAGCTAAATACAAACAGACTTGATAGAGCACTTCAAATGAAAGCAAAACACACCCAAACTCCCTTAGGGAGAGTTGAAACCACTATAATTATAAATTTTACTTGCATTGAGCAATATGGGCAAGCTCAACATCCCATTAGTATGGAGGCTCTCACACAGCAGGGCCAGAGTTGCTGAACAAATGGAACTCAAGTGCTCATCCATCATTGTGGAGACTCAGGCCCAATTTTAACCACTGTTCCACAAAAATATTAGCCACAAAAACATATGGTAGTTTATAATAGATTAAGTGATCCAGAAAGCGTTCTGGTTCCACAGTGGCAACCCAACCAATTGGTCAGTAGACGCAGCTCTGGTTACAAAGGAAAAGGAAAGGTACAAAAAGAATTCTCGAGTGTCTCTCCAAGAACACACGTTGAACAATACTCCTGCACATACCCTGGGGGCAACTCTGCATTTCAAGGTGGGATACATATGTGGACTCTGTCTGATTTGGATGCTCTTAAGCATGGTGATGGGTTCCGCATGTATCAGGACACCAAGCTGGAAATTGGAGGTCTTTCTAGTCTTTAGGGTTCTTGCAGTAGTTGTTATTGATTGGATTCCAGCGTAGAGCAAATACTTCACTTTTAAGTTTGAACCCAACATAAGTAAAATTGCCTAGATCATCATCAAGTCATTTTCCAATCAAGTCATTAAACAAAATTAGGTTATGTTTGCATTGCAATTCATCTATAAATTACATAGTGACTATACTTTACAGTGAATCCTGTGAAGCATTCCAAGACATCCTCCCAATGTGAAAGGTGCTGTATCAAATGCAAGGATTGCTTAATCCATATGGACATTAAAGGAACCTGCCGCTATCTCAAAAATGTGCAGTTTTTCTTGCGTCCCAAGTGCAGGTTTTGTGCTCCCAAAACATTATCTTCAATGAAGGATGCTATATAAATGCTAGTTGTTGTTATAATCCTGGGTTTATATTCCGTCCTTATTATTCTCTTGAGATAAGTGGAGTTTCTTTGGAGCTGGCTAGCTCCAAAGTGACACTTAGCAACAGGAATTCAGAATTTAATCAACCTTGAAGCAAAGCCCTAATGGATAGGGCTGTCTTAGCTGGAAAGGGAGAGGGAAGCCTGCCAGACATTACTTTCAATGCAAACAATGTGGTTTTAGCTGGTTAAGCTTCATCAGTACTCCAATACATACTCCAAGCTTACCCCCCACAATACACTCCTCATCCAAAATTACCCATTCAACATTCAATTGGTTGCTTCATCTCGGTGTTGTTTGTAAATTGTTGTGTTGCAAATTAGCTACCATGTTTGCCAGCATAACAGCCTAATTGTATTTCTAATGCATCTCATCCTTAAAGTGCTGAGGCATTTCTTTTCAGTGAAGGATGCTATGTAGTTGTAAGTTATTGTGATTGTAAATTAGATTCTCTTTTCTAACTAACATGATCAAAGATACAATGGGAGTAAAATTATAATGGGTCATGCAAATTAATAAAATACAGATGGCAGCATTTTATGGTTGAGTGGTTTCAAAACTTTGCACTATAGAAATGTGCAGCTTTATGTATTACAGTATATTATAGTTCTTGCTCTGGATGCTCTGGTTCATTTGTGGGGTTTTTTAAAAATCACACACTTTGAATTTCAATCCTCCTCATCTGACATTTAAAATAAATCATGGGCTTTCTTAACCCACACAGTGTATAGATAAAAGATGCAATCTTTTAACCCAACCTATAATTTTTTTTATTAAAAGCCATTTATCTAAGATTCCTTGTTTTTGTGACCAAGGGAATCAGCTTTCAGCTAAGTTGTAAAACTGAAGGGAAAGTGCCACAGACCCTGGAGACCTTGGGAGTGAGTCTTGTTTTAACAAAAGCAATAGAATACCTTATTAATTAGTTACTTGACATACACCAGCCCATTGACATTTTCGAAGGCAACTGTTTAGTATTAATGTCAGACAATAGGAATGCAGTGGCTTCCTATTCTAGACCCTTTTTACTCAAACCCCAAATCTCTGCCATCCTTATTTTCTTAAAAATACAAATTGTCCGGATTTTTTTTTGGTGTGCCTACTCCTGTTTTTAATACATAATATTATAGAAGGAGCAAGCACAGCAAGAATGGTGGAATGGGGAGTAATGGGATAACTTTATTGCTGATGTATTTATATATGTGTGATGTAGTATTTCAAAAGAGTGAGACTTAATTTCCCACTTGTAGTTAATTTGCCCCATGATTAACAGCCCCCAACCAAGATTTACATGTTTGGGTGATGGATGTAAGGAATTCCAGCAAAAACTTTGATTTAATGTTGTGCCAGTTAGAGGTGGTCTGAAGAACAACTGGTCAGGGATTCAGTGCTGGCAGATGTCAATGGAGTTTTCAAGTTAGAAATAATAATAACAATCCTTGCATTTGATACAGCACCTTATCAAGTCGTTGAAACATTTCAAAGTGCTTCACAGAATATATTGTGAAGTGGATTGACTGTCTTTTGTGGGCAAAACAGGCAATGAATTGCGCACAGCAAATATTTATTTATTTGTTTGGAGGGAGGGATTATTAACCCTGGAAAGCAATCTGCCAATCGACCCCCCCCCCCCCCCCCATTGTCACCTCTAAGTAAATGAATCGATGCCTGGGAAATGATTACAAGGTAGTAATTTAAGTCAGAGTTGTATCATACAACTTCAGCAATCTTCAGTCTCAAAATCTGAAGTTGGCTTTAATCTGTTCTTTGAATTTATTATCAATCTACATCAATTCCATTTTATTTGGAAACTTTTTTTTGTCAGATTTTCTGCCAGTTTGAATTCGCCCAAAAGATTAATGAATGTGATGTTTTTAAAGTAGGGTTAGCAAGAAATAATGTGGAAATCTAGAGGAACGAGCAAGGCATGGAGGGTTTTGAAGGTGAGGACGAGGATTTTGAACTCTTTCCTCTGGGGGATGGGGAGCCAGCGGAGCCAGGCAAGGATGGGCATGATAAGGTCACAGAGCCTGGTGCGTCAGTGGGCACAAGCTGCAGAGCTTTGGATAATCCGAAGCTTGTGGAGGAAATAGTTGGGAAGGCTGACAAGCAGGAAGTTAATGTAGTCGAGCCTAGATATAATGAATGCATGGATGAGGGTCTTGGCGGACTGAGGGGAGAGGCAGTGGCAGAGCTGGGTGATGTTGCGGAATTGGGGGAAGGTAGAATGGGTCATAGTACTATTTAATGGGTCATGGCATCTATCAGCATCCCTTCCCCCCACCATCCTCGCTTGGCTTCACTCGCTCCCCAGCAGATCAAGTTAAAGATCCTTGTTCTCGCGTTCAAATCTCTCCACAGTCTAGCCCCATCCTACCTCTGTGACTTCCTTCACTCAGCGAACACTGCCTTGTTTGATATCCCTTCCTTATCTGTCCACCATTGGCTTTCATTCTGCTCCTTGCCATCCTGCCCCTGCCTTCTGGAACTCCATTCTGGAGTCCCTCTGACTCACTCTCTCCTTCATCATTCAAGGTCGTCTTAAGACGCACTTCTTTGACCATGTTTTCAGTTACTTTTCCCACCCCCAGCTCGGCTGCCCCACCACAGCAGTGCCAAATGTTTTGAGATATCTTTCCGGACATGAAAGGCACTAAATAAATGTAAATTGTATTATATTTGCCAGAGTCGCTCCATTTAGAATTAGATCCTTGACCTTTTACTGTGTGATCTGGGTCTCAAAGCTCAAATCTCTTCTGATAGATGGGAAATCTCTTCTATCTGCTGTTCAAGTCCTTAACCCAATTCAAAGTAAAAATTGTAACTGACAGAGGGTGGCTGAAACAGAAAACAATGGTGCGTTTTCGAAGCCAAGGCAAAGCTGGAGGAGCAGTAGACTTTACTGTGCTTGTGCTCTTTCTAATTTCATAATTCCTGATGTCCAAGACTACCCAAAATGGAACTGTTTTCCTTCCTCCAGCACTGAGATCCATTACCATGGGGACACAAACAATTTCCCTGATTTTATGATTTGTTTCTGTAAGAAATCAAGTTAAAGATCCTTGTTCTTTAACAATTAATACAGTTCTTTAACTATGTGAAGTATTATAACAAGCAAATATTGGAAAGTCTTTGGAATTGGTATAACACTTGCTTTAATTTTTTCAAGCAGCAAACAAGATCAAATCAGCACATTGGTTCAAAGCAGATGTTGGCAGTCTTGGGCAGAAAACATTTTGTTTTCGAATGTTTCATTGCCATATAAACTTAGAAATGCTACTGTTTGTTTTGGGCTGTAAACAAAGTTTAAAAACATTGAGTAAGAACCACAGCATTTTATAGCTTTTCACTTTTGTTCTATTTTAACCTAATTTTGTTACAGGTCTTTACTGCCCCAACTGTGTTAGCAGTTCCATCCCTGTTTCCAAGCCTTACTTATGCTCAGTCTAGTCCCATTGCCTTGTCCTTGTGAGTTCTGCAAATAGCTGCTCTTCTGACTAGCTTAGCACTTGCTCCTCACTCTACCATAAAAACTCTTAAACCCTCTCCTGCCTTCAAAAACCTCCTAAGATCTGTATGTGACTATATCTTTGGTCAACATCGTCAGATCTCTTAATTTCACTACTCAGCATCCACCATTATATTTGTCAACCATCTTATGTCAAAAATCACTGTAAAAATGCAAGATTTTATACTCGTGTAAGTTTTCCTTTCCTTGTGTCTGTTTTTAGGGAGATATTCAAGCAAAGTATGAAGGAATTGATAAGGATACCCCAATACCAACAGACCGGCAAGGTAAGTTAGCTGCACACTAAAGAGAGCTTTGCACCAGCTGCCAATTACCGTTGCTTCCCTTTCTTGATCATATGTATTTACACAAGATTGTGCTACATGGTATTTGGGCACTACACATATATGATAGTCTTATAAATAACTTCACATTTATTGAATCTTATGTTGTTTTGCTCTTATTGGGACTGAACGGATTGTTCTTAAAGGAGACGGCACAGACACAATGAACCCAATGGCTTTCTTTTTTGCTGTGAATTTCTTGGATTCTATGCTGTCAATTCTGAATATATGGACTATGAATTAGAGTTTTTTAGAAGTGATTATCATATCTACTCTCAGGTGTCATTCTGGGAGATTGATGATGATGCTGGATAAAATGGTTAGAATACACTGATCACCAAGTCATTGCCTATTTTAAGTTTGACCTTGTTCTGATTATCACTGATCTTAGAAAGATTTTTAAATCTGATGCTATTTTCCAACATGCACAAATATGTTTATGCCACTATATAGTGTAGAGATACATTAATAACTTTTCCACAGATTATTTTTGGTTTGGTATTTAGTAAATTTAGCTTTGTATGACAATATGTGGAAGATGATAGACAGTTGCCTCAGGCATGTCAGTCCCTAATGCAAGCCAACTAGAATGAAATGATTTAAGTTCAGTGCATACTCCGAGCTCCAGACACACAGACTGGAGGCAATGTTAATCTGTGCCCTTTCTGCTACTTTCTCATTACCTCTGCACTTCCAGAGGAATGTCCGGTGGTTGTGGCAAACGTTCAGCACATGCATCTGACATCATTGGGTAAGCAGCACGAAGATATTAGACTCCCTCAAAAAGTCCAAAACCATTAGGAATTTATTTTTACATTCTCCTGTATTGATCTAAGAGTAACACAGGTCAGGAGATGTCACAGAGTATCAGGTGGCTTGATGGAGCTGGTGAGAGTTCTGACTCCAAAAATGGTTCTGCTAAATTTGGTACCGGAAAGGCCGGCAAGTGTTTTTTAAGTTCCCTTCAAAGGCAGACTTGCATCATGAAACAAATTAGCAATAGAAAAGCAGCATAAAAGTTTGAGGGTGATCTGCAATGGAAACTGTTATGAGCCTAGACTTTAACAGAGATCAAATTGCATTGTACTGCAGCACTATGAATTGATCTCCTGGCAGGCATGATATTTGCACCTGATCGACTTTAAAAGTGCTGCTTAATCTTTGTTTTAAATGCTGAAAGCAATTTGCTCCAGGGTTTGAGCTAATTTTTGTTAAATTTAATGTGTAAAAAGAAATTGTGCCTTTAGTTTTCAGGAACATCTCTACTATATCGTGGGAGCAGGGAGGAGAAAGCCTCTGAGAAAGTTGCTCTCTTCATGGTGCAAACGTAGCTTTCAAATGTCTTAAAGCTTTTTGCATGTTGTCTCAAGACACTCTTCTTCGACTGCGCCTTCAGTCACCATCCTACCCCTAGCCTCCCTGCCCTACATCCTTCCCGATCCCTACCCCCAGCTTGGGTCCAGAACCCTGACTGTCCAGTGCCTTGAAGCGTCCTTCCTACGTGAAAGGCACTATTCAAATGTAATTTGTTGTTGTGTTGCCTACATAACTACATTTGCTTCATTCCTAATTAATATCATTCTTTGAAGTGAATAACTTAACAAGTAGTGAAATAATGGTCCCATTTACCTTATCAAAACTCCACACAATTTTAAAAAAAAACTCTTTCAGATCTCCTTTCAACCTATAAGGCTACTATTGTGATTCTGATGCCTCAGATTGCTTTGCCCCGCTACCCCTTTTAGGTCCTTACTATCCAAGGTATATACAGCTTCTTTTTCCTTCTAGCAAAGTGAAGCACTATGATCGCTTCACATTGAATTTAGTAAAGTTAGCCATTGTAAGTGATTTATACAACATGCTTCTATTCTACCCTGAGGGTAAGCACAGAAGCAGTCAGTCAGTGATCACAGAAAATGAAATAGCAGAGATGTTACTGATTTATTCATCGGCAACACTGACCAGACAATAGGAGTTATTGTAGTCTCTGGCACTGATCAATCTGCATCGGAACCATTTTATAAGCCACCTGGACAATTATTGAATTACCATTACTGCTGAAAAAAAATAAGAGCTCACAACATTCTGATCAACATCTGTCCTGGCTGTAACTGTGTACCCATCTTAAGGTTATGGTCATTTCTGTGTATTACAGCGCACCCTCGTGCTGTTCTCATGCTACTGCACCAACTGAAAAAGTGTGTTTCAATTGAAAGTCTCATACGAGCAAAAATAAGTTACATATTAGTTTTCTTAGGCATACATATCATCTCTTGTCTTCGTTAATAATAATAAGAATCCTTGCACTTGATATAGCGCTTTTTAACGTCTTCCAGACGTCTCAAAGCGCTTCACAGAATATGCTGTAAAGTGAATTGACTGTATATTTGTGGGTGAAACACGGCAGCCAATTGCGCACAGCAGTGTCCCACAAACAGACGTGGATTGATAATGACCAATTTATTATTGTTTTGGAGGGTTAAAACGGAATGGTTAAAACATTTTGAATTCAAAATCTTTTTAAAATATATCTTTGACCACCCTGCCTTTGGTCAACACCCTGGAAGTTTGCTGTCACTCCTCCCTGCTCGCTGCTCCTTATTGTTTCTGTGAAACACTTTCAGTCATTTATCCTGTGTGAAAGACGCTGTATAAATGCAAGTTATTGCGAGCAGCCCAGCTGAAAGGTTTGATATCAGGGAGATTGGGACAATTGCAAGTAATAATCTTGAAAATATAAGTCTTTAATGATCTTCTTTAATGATCTTAAGGTCACAGTCTGGGCTGACACTCCAGTGCAGTGAAGGGGGAAGTGCTGCATTTTTGGAGGTGCCACACCTCGGTTGAGACATTAAACCAAGGTCCTGTTTGCCTGTTCAGGTGGTTATTAAAGATCCAGACTATTTCTTGAAAAAACAAGAGTTTCTCCTGGGGTGCGAGCCAACAACCCCCAAATAAATTGGTTACTGCTCACTTCATGGCTGTTTGTGGGACATTGATGTGTGTAAATTGACAAAGGTGTTTGGCTACAAATACATGTCACTAATCTTCACAGGTTTTCCCTGTGAAGTGTTTTGAAACCTTTTGATGTTATGAGTGATATATCAAATGAAAGTGTTATTATTATGCAATGACCATGGCTTCAGTGCTGAGACAGCTGAAGAATTGCTGAGAATGTGCTATATCTAGTTCAAAATGGAAATCCTTACAATTAAGTCTGCTCGTCTATCTGCATTTTATTACAGAGTTCTGATGTCCATGTGTCATCCTATTTACTCCTAATCCGAGATGTTTTGTTGTACTCAACCTGTTCTTTATCGACCTCAGCGTGTAGTATCTAGTTCAGAGTTTACTGACAACAAACCTGAGTTTCACATTGAAATTAGAATGAACTGAAGAGAGGGTGACTATTGAATATATTTTTATTGTTCGTTGGTGTCAAAGTCTCTGCCAAGAATGGAGTATTGCAGTGCAGCTCACATAACCACATTTCTCAACTTAAGTTTCTTTTTTGGAATTTTTCAAATGAGCAACATTGAAAGCAAATTTGGAGTGGCTGAAATGAATTGGTTGAATTGAGAACTGTATAACATCTACGGGATAGTAGTTGCATAATATGAAAACAACTATCGTAGTATGGTTTCCTTCCTCAATCAAATCTGATAGTAAAATCAATCCTGATGTCATCTGTGGCCTTATGTTGTGCCCAAGTGGGAGCTAACATCAATAAGATTCAACATTTCCTACCCCCCCAAAACATAGCAAACAGAGCTAATAAAATGTAAGAAATTCCTGTGGTTCTGTGTGTTCTAAAGAATAATATGGGAGGGGGTGAGAATAGGGTAGCGGGCACTCTAAGGAGCAATGAATATGTGATTGAGATGTTGCTGAAAATTCAATGTTTTTAATTCTGTTGGACTCTCAACTTGTATTATTGCTTTGTAATACCCTCCAGATTTCTGTTATCCTATATGTATTGCATATGTTAGTAATTACCAGTGGCTGCACATGAAAGCTGTGTTAACGTTATATTGAACACAAGTCTTTAGGTATATCACTGAAGCAGTTATTGGATATTTCTAAAAAATATATATAGTGCATTCTTAAGGTGCATAGCTAAATAAACTAGTGTAAATCAGTGTTGTATGTCTAATACGTCAAGCTTTTGAATGGATAGGATACCCAGAAAGAAGTTAATAAAATTAGAATGGTTTACACAGAGCAAACAACTTGACTGCTGGTCACACAAGGTCTTGAACACTGCAAGAGTGAATGATTTCCAATACAAGGTGTGCAAAAGATTTAATTTGTTAACCATTTATCATTGCTGTACATTTGAATTACACCATTAGTTTTTCTTAAGCACAAAAGCACACACTTATTTTAGAAAGCATTCAACTTAGTTTTATCTGTGAGGATCTCCGTTAGAGATTTGGACCCAAGTCCAGTCAAGTTATATTCACCTAAACTTACGAAGTTCAGTTCTGATGAAGGACATACATGGGCCTGAAACATTGACCAACTTACCTGTCGCCATAGATGCTACCTGATTTGCTGAGTGTTCCCAGTGATCTCTGTTTTTGTTTAAGATTTCCAGCATCTGCAGTATTTTGCGTTTTATTTCCGCAGTTCTATCTTGTATCCGTATATTAAGTGCTCCAGATGCTGCCCTCGTAAAAGGTGCTATATAAATGCAAGTTGTTGTTGTACATCTGCCTTTTCACTTTTGTGAAGAGAGGTAATCCAAGATGAAGAAGAATCCTTGCATTTTATAACGTGCCTTAACATTTCAAACCCTTCAAAGTAATTACCGTTAGGTGTAGTCACTGTGTATTTTGAAGGCAAATGCAGCAGCCAGTCTGCCCACGCCAAGTGTCCTCCCGATGTGAAAGGCGCTATACAAATATGATTTTGTATTGTATAATGTCTCACAACAGTGAATAACAGTGGAGGACCAAATTAAGTGGAGGATTGTTGGCTCGGTTACCAGGAACTCCCTTTTCGTTTTGGATAGGGTCATGGGTTCCTTAAAATCAACCTGAACAGGCAGTTTGGGTCTCAGTTTATGTTTTGTATGAATGCAAAAATGCAGCCCTCCATTAACACTGCACTGAAGTTACAGTGTAAATCTGCATTCGATGTAAGATTTGAAACCACAACCTTCAGACCCAACAGCAAGCCAGGCTGACATGTAGAAAAAAGAAGAAATTCAAATGTGAAGCACATTTCTTTAGTACCTTTTATTTTTCAAGCGTGGCAGGGATGTTAAAATCCCATAATGCTCGTTGTGTATGTAGAAAATTATATAATAGATACACAGTTATGGGACATGTGGGCCATTCAGCCCATTGAGCCTGTTCCACTAATTTATAAGATCTTGTCAGATATTTCAACCCCAAAGCCCTGCCATTCACCATAGCCCTTAATACCTCTACTATCCAATTATCTACCTATATCTTTTGAACATCCCTATTCTCCCATTACAGCTTTCTGGGATAGAGTATTCCACATCTTCACAAGCCTCTGTGTGAAGAAATATTTGCTGACTTCAGTTCTACTTGTCTTAGTTATGATTTTAAAGCTATGCACTTTGTAATGAATCCCTCAATCAGAGAGTAGAGTTTTCCACAAACAAAACACAAAATACTGCAGATGCTGGAATCTGAAACAAAAACAGAGAGAGCTGGGAAAACTCAGCAGGTCAGGCAGCATCTATAGAGAAAGGAAAGTGAGTCAACGTTTCAGGTCCACGACCTTTCGTCAGAACTGGGGCATGTTGGGAGGGAGAGTCTTTTAAGGACAAGTTGAGAGGGGGAGACAGGAAGGACGACAAAGAAGATTAAAAAAAGAATACAAAGGAGAGAATGTGTTAGTTGACAGGTTAAAGAGGTGATAGTGGCTTAAAACTAAAGGGGGGTTTGTACAACAAAAGGTGGGGGTGGTGTGGTGTTGAAACGAACTGGGGAGAAGAGGTGTTAATGGTGCAGAACAGGCAACATACCAGAGAGTGTCTGGGGTGATGATTGTAATGATAACAGAAGATAATTCTTCTGGTAACAGAAAGGGGAGGTGGGGAGGAAAAGGTGAGCTGTTATGGTCTGAAGTGGCTGAAATCGATATTGAGGCTAGAGGGTCAGGTCTGCTAGGGTCCCTAGCAGATAGATAAGTTGCTGTTCCTCAAGCTTTCGCTGTGGATCACTGGAACAGCGTAGGAGACCATGGATGGAGAGGCCAGACTGTGAATAAGAGTGTGAGTTGAAATGGCAGGAGATCGGAAGATCAGGGTTGACCTTGCATACAGAATGGAGGTGTTCTGCAAATCGGTCACCCAATCTGCTCTCAGTCTCCCCAATATAGAGGAGACCACACCGTGAGCAGCGGATACAGTATAAGTATGAGTTTTCCCAGCCCTCTCTGTTTTTGTTGAAGAGTTTTCCACTTTCTTTTCCCTTTAAATACCTCAAACAAACCACCTCTTAGTCTCCTCTACTTTTAAGCACTCTAAGCAAGGTCTGTCTAGCAAAAGCAGTATACCAGTTATAATACTAATAATAATAATCCTTGCATTTGATATAGCGCTTTTCACGTCAGGAGGACGTCCTAAAGCGCTTCACAGAACACACTGTAAAGTGAATTGATTGTATATTTGTGGGCGAACGTGGCAGCCAATTGTGCACAGCAATGTCCCACAAACAGTTGTAGATTGAAAATGACCAATTTATTATTGTTTTTGGTTTTGGAGGGATTATTGTTAGACGTGTGGAGTAAGGAAACTTGCCCAAGGTTTTGCCCTGCCTGGAATTGAACTCGGGTCTCTCGCTTGCAAAGCGAGTGCTCTAACCACTGAGCTACAGGACTCCAGGACTGCTGAGTTATCTCAGCAATCCACAGCCCATGTTCAATTAAATCATTCTTCAAAATTATGTGTCAGAAATTAACACTTCATCAGTGAAACATATTGATGCACAGTGGTGGATAGGAAGATTTTCAAATGACAGTTGCTGTCTATGTGATCAGCATATTAAGTAAAGCCATAGAGCCTTGCTTTGTTTTAAAACTCAGAAAACTTGGTCAATATCTAATCGCGGTGTAAACAGAATGAGTTATGATGACAGGTGAGGTAGGATATATATCTGTTCTTGGAACATAATTCAGTTTTGACTCAAATTTCTTATGAGTTGTTTCATCAGTTGAGTGCGATACTGGACACAGATATGGAATTGGAGTCTTAGAAATGTGCTCACCACAACCCTGCACTGAATCATTATTTAACTTTAAAAATACTCATTGTGAATAGTGTAATGATTCTCACTCCACAAAACTGTGTATTAAATACATTCCTTTATTCTCAGCTCACAACAATACAACACTCCTACCCTAACCCACACTCTGGTTCCCTTCCTACGATCCTTTTCTACTTCCTTCTTCTGCTTCATTGGATTTTTCTGAATTGCCCTTTAACTTCTTAAAGCAATATTCTTCAAATGGCTCTCTCGACAAGATTCCTAAGCAAGTCTTATTGGGAGCTGCACGATAGACACTGCAGTAAATGATGTCATTGACAGTTTAGTCCGGTCTTAAGACCAGTTTAGGCCAGTCTCAAGACCTTTCTCTGACCGTGCCTTCGACTCCCCTCTCAACTCTCTACCCCCTCCTCGCTCCCTCCCTTCCCTCCCCCTGACCATTTCCCCCCTGCTTGGGTCCTGACCCAACTGTCCAGCGCCTTGGGACATCCTCCCGACGTGAAAGGCACTCTATAAATGAAATCTTGTTGTTGTAGTGAAAAAGCGGTTAAGTTCAATGGGCACTCTAAAATTTAGCATTTTCTATTAAGTTAATTAGACTGAATGCTTGATGTTATGTAACACACCACTTTTTGTGTACTTTCCAGCAACAAAACCCTGCTTTATTTCTTCCCAGATATGTTTCCTTTTGTCTAGTTGGCCTCTCTCTTTGTATCTGATTGTCTTTCAGATTGAGGTGGATATCCCGCGCTGCCATCAGTATGACGAGCTGCTGTCATCGCCAGAGGGTCATGGAAAGTTTAGACGTGTATTAAAAGCCTGGGTCGTCTCCCATCCAGATCTTGTGTATTGGCAAGGTCAGTTTGGCTTCTCAGGGATTCTTCCCACTCAGCTCCTGTTAATCCTGCAAGCCAAAGCCTTCACAAATAGGATGATGCTAGCTGGACAAGCAGTGCAAAGCTTGCCAGAGAGTTCTCTCAATGACAAGCAATGCTGTTATCACTGGTTAAAGTCAAGCTGTACCTCACTCGGGGGCCCCAAGCCTTGGAAACCTGCATCTAATACTTTTGGTCATCTCTACTCTCCCCACCCCCAGCTCAGTTGTCCAGCCAGCATTGTCAAAAGCTTTGAGACGTCTTCCCAATGTGAAAGGTGCTATAATAAATCAATTATATTGTGCAGCAATGCAAGTTATTTCTTTCTCTGTTGTAGTCTTCACTCATCCTTTCTGTGAATTTCTATCCAGGCTTAGACTCCTTGTGTGCACCCTTCTTGTACCTGAACTTCAACAATGAAGGTAAGTATGGATTATTAAGACATCTACTACTAAAAAATAATGTATTCATAATATTATTGTCCATCCTTCAAACACTGCGTAACCCTAACTGGGCTGAAAAAACAATTCTAATGCCTATAGAAAATACATAACATTAGTGAGTCTTCAAAGGAGAAAAGGGTCGGGGAACTTTGAAGGTAGCATACGCTCAAAGATGTATTTTATGGTAAATAGCTCTAAGAGCTCATGAGCATCAGCAAACTGAAAATCTTGTGATTCTATGACCATGAGCACTGAAAGGGTGTACCTGTGCAAACAAATGTATTTGCTTAAATCTACTTTGTGATAATATTAGTAATCCTTGCCTTTGGTATAGATCTAATCTCATCTTCGAGACGTCTCAAGTGCCTCACAGAATATACTGCAAAGTGAATTGAGTGTATGTTTTGTGGGTGAAACGCGGCAGCCAATTGTGCACAGCAGTGTCCGACAAGCAGCCGTGGATTGAGTGACCAAATTATTATTATTATTATTTTTCTGAAGAGATTATTACCCTCAGAAAAGTGATCCGCCAATCAATTAACAACCAGGTTCCTACTTACTGCTAGGTAAACAGATGTGTGTGGAGTAAGGAAACTTGCCCAAAGTTTCACCCTGCCAGGAATCAAATCCAGGTTCTCTTGCTTTACGAGGCAAGTGCTTTAACCACTAATATACAGCATTCCTGTGGTCTTTGGATGCAGAGAGAAAAAGCAATCTGTTGTACTTAATGGTCGTCGTGCAATTCAGGTTGTTGATGTTTTGGAAGATCAGTGCTATACCCTTCAGTAGCTTCATATACTGTGTCACTGAATACTGTTGAGCAGCTTAGAGAGACACCAAATGGAGGCTGGGCAATTCCTCAAGGGAGATTCACCTCCCCGCAGTCAATTACAGAGGTGTGGTCTTGAGCAGGTTGCCCTTACACCCACACCTTGTCTGAGGGTAGCAGATTACTGCCATCTGTGATATGCCTGAAAATCAGCAGAAAGGTCAATCAGTGTGGAATTTGAAATGAAGCCTTATAAGAAAGGTTAACTGCTCCCTACCATAAAGTAAAATGCTTGTATGAAGTGGCTAATTTTTCTTTCTTTATGTTTTGCAGCTTTGGCCTACGCTTGCATGTCTGCTTTTATTCCCAAATATCTGTACAACTTTTTTCTGAAGGACAATTCTCATGTTATACAAGGTAAGTGGTATTATGCTTTCAAGTTGCAACCTATTTGTGTACATTCTGCAGAAAAAAACACAGTAGATGTGTTTATCAGCCTGGCTCAGTTGGTAACACTCTGGCCTCTGAGTCAGAAGGTTGTAAGTTCAAACTTCCACGCCAGAACTTGGGATTCTTATAGTCGAAGACGCCACTCCAATGCAGTGCTCCGGGAGTGCTATATTATCGAAGCTGCCGGCCTTCAGATGAGTCATTAAACCTAGACCCTACAGTGTCCCTGTCTACCTGTTCAGGTGGATGTTAAAGATCCAATGGCACTATTCAAAAAGAGAAGGGAGTTTCTCCTTGTATCCTGGTCAACAGTTCCCCAAATAAAGTCATTAACTTCATGACTGCACAAATCAGCTAATTCACCCCAAAACTCAAAGTTACTACACTTTACTGCATATCTTGTGAAGCATTTTGAGACATCCTCCAGAGGCGAAAGGCGCTATACCAAATATAAGGATTATTAATATTAGTGCTAGTTTGTACAACATATCAGCCTCAGTGGTCAGATGTGCTTACACAACACAGAGGTAATCAGCTAGCAGTGAAATAGAAACAACATCATTTGCCATTGTAACATGCAATTTTATATTTATATTTTTGTAAAGTGCTTTGGGAGGTTTATTTTACAACGCCAACAATTTACACTTAAATGAGTTCTTTTCACATTGGTTGAACATATCAAAGCATTTTGAAAAGACTGAGTGAGAGCCCAAGTTGGGAGTTACAAGGGGGCAGGTGGAGGAAAGCGCACAGTCAGAAGTAGGTCTCTAGATGGAATTTGGAAACGGAGAGGGAAGGGGTAAGGCAGAGGGAGTGGCTGGGGTGATTAGGATTGCAAAAGATTCCAGAGACAGGACTTGAATAGTGCTATAAAAATGTACATTATATTATTATAAAATGTAATCCTATTTATTCTACTTATGACATTATATACTTTAGATGCTGTAACTTCAACCCTTTTATTACATACAACTTCCATTAGGAATTGTGCCTCTTCTACCAGAATCTACAAATATAAATATATTATCTCTAAATATAAATGGAGAAAAGCAATGGTCCTAAACCCTGACCCCTGGGGAGACTACTATTTAATCTCTACATTTCAAATACCAACTTGTACTCCCATCCTCTGGTTCATATCCTTTAACCAAAGTTCTTTCCATACTGTTACCTTTACATTAATGTAATATTTTTTTTTATTTGAAGATATGCCATATTTAATATAATAATAATCCTTGCATTTGATATAGCTCCTTATCACACCTTGAGACATCTCAAAGCTCTTCACAGAATATATTTGAAAGTGGAAACACGGCAGCCAATTGTGGACCGCAGTGTCCCACAAACAATCATGGATCGATGGGATGTTATCGCTATTTGCGCACCAAATTTCTCTTTTTCAGACCTCAATTCCAGACAGTCTACCTTCTGGGTGGTCCACACACAAAGCCCGATTAGTCTAAAGACTCATTGCTACCATTTATTTGCACAAGAATGCAGAGATGACTACAATACCAAACCATGGAGGCCACATAACACAGCTTAATTCTGCACCTAAGATGTGAGTTAGTGAGGTCATTTCATGGTGCGTAAACAAATACAGATTAGGAAAACTAAAAGGATTGAAAGGGACTTAATGAGCAGAAGTCAAAGCCTTTCTGCATTATAGAAATGGTTACCTTTTCAAAGATTTGCTGCTCAGCATGTTTGCCTGTGCGGGCAAATCCACCCTTGTCAAAAAGGGCTTTTGGTGCAAGATCCAATTCATTATAATCTGCTGACAGAATTCTTTGGAGACTCTTCTATTTTAAGTATCTTACTTGTTTATTAACTATGTTTCCGCAGAATGGAATGTGAAATAGTTGTATTTCTGAATAATAGTGAGAATAATGGAATGAATACATTTTGAAGCCATTATAGAATCATAGAATTATACAGCACAGAAGGAGGCCATTTGGCCCATCATGTCTGTGCCGGGTCTTTGAAATCCAAATCAATCCCACTAGCCCCGCGCTCTCCCCATAGCCCTGTAAACTTTCCTCCCCAAATAATTATCTACTTCTCGCTTAAAAGTTGTTAACGAATCGGCTTGCAATGCATTCCAGATCCGAACAACTCGCTGTATGGAAAAAATTCTTCGCATCTCTCCTCTGTTTCTTTTAACAACTATTTTAAATCGATGGCCTCGGATTACCCGACCTACTTGCCAGTGGAAATAGTTTCTCCTTGTTCACCCCATCGAATCCCCTCATAATTTTGAAACCTTCTATTAAATCTCCTCTTAACCTTCTCTGTTCCAAGGAGAATAATCCGAGCTTCTCTAGCCTCTCCTGATAACTGAAATCCCTCATTCTTGGTACCATCCTGGTAAATCTCCTTTGCACCCTCTCCAATGCCTTGACATCCTTATTATTATCCTATTATTATTTTTATATTATCCGTCCTAAAGTGTGGGGCCCAGAACTAAACACTATTCTAGCTGAGGCCTAATCAGTATTTTATAAAGGTTCATCATAACTTCTTGACTTTTGTATTCTGTGCTCCTATTTATAAAGCCTAGTATCCCGTATGCTTTTTTAACAGCTTTATCTACCTGTCCTGCCACCTTCAAAGATTTACTTATATGAACCCCAGATCTCTCTGTTCCTTCAACCCCTTTTAAGATTCTGCCATCAGCTTATATTGCCTCTCCTCAGTCTTCCTCCCAAAATGCATCGCTCTGCATTTATCCACATTAAACTTCATCTGCCACATGTCTGCCCATTTTACCAGTCTGTCTATGTCCGTTTGCAGTCTGCCACTATCCTCCTCACTGTTTACTACTTTTCCTAGCTTAGTATCATCTGCAAACTTGGAAATTGTACTCAAGTCTAGGTTGTTTATACAGAACAAGAACAGCAATGGTCCCAATACTGACCACCACTGCTCACTTATCTCCAGTCAGAAAAACAACCGTTCACTACCACTCTTTGCTTTCTGTCTCCCACCCAGTTCTGTATCCATGCTGCCTACTGTCCCTTTAATACCGTGGGCTTTTATTTTGCTTACAAGTCTTTTATGTGGCATTTTATCAAACGCCTTTTGAAAATCCATATAAACTGCATCAACTGCACTACCTTCATCCACCCTCTCCATTACTTCATCAAAAAACTCTTATCAGGTTTGTTAAGACATGATTTGCCTTTAACAAATCCATGTTGTCTGTCCTTTATTAATCCATATTTTTCTAAGTGAAAATTTATTTTGTCCTGGATTATGGTCGCTAGAAGTTTCCCCACTACTGATGTTAGGCTGACTGATCTGTAGTTCTGGGTTTTATCCTTCTCCTTTTTGTACAGAGGTGTAGCATTTGCAACCCTCCAGTCCTCTGGCACCACCCCGGTGTCCAAGGAGGATTGAAAGATTGTGACCACAGCCAGTTCCAAGTAATAGTGGACTTTTCCTCACAGTTGTCGTGTCGTGTTTATATTTCTTCTCATTCAAATTTACCCTAAAAATTATTTTATTGTCTACTCATCTCATTGTTGCTTGCAGGATTTTCCTGGCTGAAATGAACTACCAGGATGCCTCATTAACAGTCACTTCATTTCTAATTAACCTCATTCTGCAAAGTGCCTGAAGACATTTCTATATAAATACAAGTTGTCTTAAAGGAAAGCATCATGCTGCATAATGTGTTTTAGTTCATCAACAGCAACATTTGAGCAACAAACTGTAACTGAAATCATCTGCTTACTGCTTCCCGCTGCTGCATATTTTAACCTGCACAGCTGTAAATGACCTTATTCCCTGCCATATGGCCAGCAACATGAGCATTTGCCACTTTCCTTCAGTACAATGTGAAAAGTGTGGGACGATGAGCAAGTGTGTCCTGTCTATCCATAGATAGCTTGTTACTTTTACTCTTTCCAAAGTTGTATTTTTTAAGTGAGCTAGGACACATGAATATGAATATAATTCACTTTGTTTAGTCCACAGTCTGAAAGTTCTCTATGTATTGGCTCTCCCTTCTTCTCCACTGCAGGTTTTAGGGTAGCTTAAAGATGGCATTGTAAAGTTTTGTCAAGGATCTAATTGTCCAGTATGTGGCGCTGCAGATACATAGCTGAATTGAAGCTCAGCTCAGTTCAGCCACGAAAATAAAACATGCTGTGTGAACCTGTGGATTATTCCTGATGGCGTCATATCTGAGGCGATTCGTGCCACACACGCTGTTTTCCCAAATTGATTTCACATGGTTGATTTTTTTTGTGACGTCCATGTATTCTGTTTAACTCCTTCTCCACTCCGCTGCCACTGGTTATTGAGACCTTGTGCTGCGGTCCACATTCACTTGGAATGTTGTATTCATAATTCAATTGAAGTGATAATGAAACAACATCAATTGCCTTTAAGTACAGAGAGCTTCACTAATCCGGTCATTCAAGTGACTGGGCAAAAGTGTCCTATTAGTGAGGTGACCTGATTACTGAAACAGATCGGGTGATTCGGGTCACTTATGTAATGTTACAGGCATTGGTAATGGGCAAGGGTGATGAACATTCAACAACCATACTTTGCAATCTCATTAAAATAAAGGCATTGTCACATTTAAAACAAATGCTATCATGTATGCAGCCTACCTTTTGAGAATAAATCCAACTTGTGTTCTGCCAATGCCGTGGATCACAGCTAACTGGCTATGAATGTTGCCCTCACTGTTTTTGATTAAGTCCACTCTCTCATGTAAGGACAGCTCCTTCGGTGGTGGCATGTTTACAGCACTTTCCAAGAATTGGCCGCAGGAGCTCAGGTTAAGCTGCTTGTGGGATATTGCTGTGCTTAACTTGGCTGTCACATAACTAGATGCTGTTAAGGTGCCAGCAAAGACTCCGCTCTGGCGAACATTCAGTAAGATTGTGCCAAAGTCATTTACAGGGTTTGATATTTTTAGATCCTTTGTGAGCTGAGGTGTAATTCCCACAGTTTAGATCCCTCAGAGAGTATGTTTGAACAAATGGTGTAAAGTATATGTTTTGCTAAACTGAGGCGCGACTGAATAACTGAAGGCTGAACTCAAAGGTTAATGCCTATCTTCAATTTGAATTTATGGGTAAATGTAATTGTTAGTTATTACAATTCAATCTGTAAAAGGTTTTATGAAATTGGGGAACCATTTTTATGGAGTTAATAGAAGAACATTAGTGCTTTTTAGAGAAAGACAAATTGGAAGATTTCAAATTTTCATGTTGGGATGTTCTACACTTGGAGCAGTCGAACTTGAAGTAGCTTAGGAGAGGTTCCCGTTCCATTCCTAACGTAGTGTAGATTTTAACCCAACTCATAATATTCCAATTCTCTGAAACTATTAATAATTTAAAGGAGATTGTGTATTTCTAAAGTAGGAATTTAAACCATTTAAGTTTAACATTTTATTATGCATTTTAACATCTTAAATATGGAAAATAGAAAAGTGGCATTATTTTTCTTTATCCCAAATCCTATGGACAGCTGGAGCGGTTGCACTTCTCATGCACATTATATCATGCATGTTCTTCATATGTCAAGGCTATTTTTCATTTTATTATCTATTCTGTCATGCGTCTTGTTAACTCTTTCCAACCAAAATATTATTTTGCTGACTGAAGCGATCAGACTGGCAGTTTTTATTACAGCATCTGTCAGTTTCTCTCACTAAGCTATACGATGTACTAAAGAAAATGTTATAAATCCGAAGGCCTTGTTCACATATTGCTGAAGTATTCAATGTAATGCTTTTCAGCACTTTGGTATTATTACCTATAGTAGTTTTAGATGTTTAAGTGCAACTTACTTAAAAGGAGATGCCCTGAGCTTATCTGGATGAGAATATGCTCCATGTGTAAACTCCTTTGTTTCACTGAAATATTGATATAATAGATGGATATTGGAATGTCACATAAAGTAGGGGTATGATACAATTACTGCTTTCAGACAGGGTGGGACTGCATTCAAAAGCAAAAAAAATCTTATCAGTTCAATGGTCCGTTGTACTAAGTAGGTTGGAATTAACTGGAACATTCAAAAATGTGATGTGCAAGATAGCTGATCACAATGCAGTAATGCATCAACTGTCAGAACCAGTAAATCAAAGATGATAATAATCATCCTTGCATTTGGTTTAGTACCTTATCATGTTGTTGACCGTCTCAAAGCACTTCACAGGGTATACTGCGAAATGTAGTGACTGTAGTGTAGGTGAATGCAACAGCCAATTTGCATTCAGCAATGTCCTACAAAGAGTCATGAAGTCAATGACTAATCTTATCAGGAGGATTGTTGGCCAGAAAAACTCCATTTACTTTTCTAGTAAATAGAATCTTTAACATCCAGCTGAACAGGCAGACAGGACCTAGATTTAATATATCATCTGAATATGTATCATCTGAAGGACAGTACTCCCACAATCGGTATTGTCAGTACTGCCATTAGGTGACACCCTTGTTTATAAGCTCAAAGTCTAGTAGGTTTTGAACCCACAACCTTCAGAGGTGAGAATGCTACCAACTGAGCCAGGCTGATAACTAGGATTTAACTGAAAATCCATCCAGTATTTTTTCTACATATGTACACAAATGTTACAAAACCAAATGTAACAGTTGCCCCCTTATTTTAGCTGATGGGGAGGGGATCCCAGGGACACGGTACCTAAATTGGGACTATTAAAGTTTTTTTAAATCTCTTTTTCTCTGTCAAAAACAGAAGAAAATCGGGATGTGGGGAGGATTTGACACACAAAACACTGTAAACCCGTGCAAGTCCAGATTTGTTTTGGAACATTAAGATATTTCAAAACATACAAAACATTAACTTTTTAAAAAAAAATGCTTTCATAGATATCACAAGCAACAAATCCAATCGATTTTTTTTCACAAATTGCAATTTGGTGTGTATGTGCTGAAATCCACCTTGCCACAGTGGCATTTTCGCACTGTGTGTGAATTCTCTGAACCGCCTAAACAGCCTCATTGCCTGAACTCCCTTTACCATCCTGCCTTAGAAGTTGTAAAGGAACTAATATTGATTCAGATACATCTAGGGTTTCAAATATATTCTTTTGGAAGAAAATACTTGAATGCTTTGCAGACTGACTGGTTCTTCAGTGTCCATGTGACACCAGCCCCCTCTATGTGACCGGTTATGAAAAAAATCAGTATTTGGGGGCCAGTCTTTCATTAGCTATTCTTATTTGGTGATTAATATATTTGATCCTGTTACAGAGTACCTGACTGTGTTTTCCCAAATGATCGCTTTCCATGACCCGGAGTTGAGTAATCATCTCAATGAGATTGGCTTCATTCCAGATGTAAGTACCACGAGTACTCGTAAGCTCTTTCACAAATCGATGGACAACACAGATATATGTAGGTTAAAAAGAGGGCAAGGTTCAGAAAAAATATGTCACTCTGCACGTGAGAGATGATATCTTGACAGAGTTATTGCTAACTTTGTCCTTTCTTTTGATAATGACAAATAACTGATCTGCGGCTGGCCAACACTGAAAAGGTTGAATATGAATGCAGACAACACAACTGTTACCCATTTAATATGTTTGAAGTCTAAAAACCTGGATTGTATTTTAATTCAGTGGAATTGAGTGCTATTTATGAATGCCCAACCCCAGTTATTGATGGGATATTTACTCTTTCACTAAGCTGTTCCCAACATTAGTCGCTGGCTTTATTTAGACTGTGATTGTAATCAGTAAAATTTGACATTGATTGCAACAGAGGCATTTTTGCATTTTTTTCTAAATTATGGAAGCACAAATTTTGCTGGGAATATATTGTATTACATTGCCGATGATTTTGCAAAACTATACATGGTTTGGCAGACAAAGGTATACATATGAAAAAACAGCAATTTGAAAGTTAACATACTTACTATAATCTAAGGAATTCCATAATGGAGAAAGTTGGCCAAAAGTATTCAAAGCAAAAGCCCTGAGTTATTAAAAACAGAACCAAACCAAAAATCGGGAACCATCCTAATTAAGTACAATTAAAACTTGCACTGCTTTTTTTGATAAACAAGTAAACTGGGATAATTGAGAAATATAATTCTTTGTTATACTACTGTTCATTAGTGCTTGAAAGCAGTTAAAGTGATTAGAAGCGGCAACTTTGATTTATATTTTCCATTCAAAATAGCATTGGCAAAAAACTGACTGAGAGCTCTGACAGTGAACAACTTAATGCACGAACTGAGCTCCACTGATGCTTGATACTTAAGGTTTAGAATGCTTCATTTAACGTTCTGATGGGCCTATTAGATCCACCAGATCTTTCAAGGGATGATTTTTTGGAGATGAGTCCAAAAATTGAACAATCTCTATTTATATTATATTTCCTGGTGAAATGACAAACTGAAGTTGGTTTTGTCAGTCAGGCTTCAGTGCAATTTGCTCTGGAGCGATTGATGCCAATCCAAAGTGTTTCTCATCAGTTGTGCAGAAGAGTGTGTTTAAAGCATGTTTAAAGCATGGAACAAATTCTGCTCCAACTATAAGTAATACTAGTCATAATAATCCTTACAAAACACAAAATTTGAGTTCTAACATAGGGTCACGGACCCGAAATGTTGACTCACTTTCCTATCTCCATAGATGCTGCCTGACTTGCTGAGTGTTCCCAGCGACTTCTGTTTTTGTTTCATAATAATCCTTACATTTGGTGTAGAGCCTTATCATGTCATTGAGATACCTTGAAGCGCTTCAAAGGGTTTTACTGTAAAGTGTAGTGACTGTATTTGTAGGTTTAAGAGGCAGCCAATTTGCACACATCAATGTCCACATACAGCTATGAAGTAAGTGACCAATTTTATTTGAGGGATTGTTGGCCAGAACGCCAAACGCTCGTCACTATACGGTAAGTGCCATGGGATCTTTAATGTCCACCTGAACAGGCAGATGGAATCTCAATTTAATCCCATCATCTAAAGGATGGCACCTCCAGCAATGCAGCACACCACCAACATTGCATTGCCTAGACTGTGAATTCAAAGTCCTGATGTGGGGCTTGAACTCACAACCGTCTGACTCAGGTGTGCGAAGGCTACTGACTGACATAGAATAATACCTAATATAGTGGTATATTTGTGATATTCCTTAATGGATTTCTTTTTTAAGAAATGGATTTCTTCCAGTAATTGTCATGCACTTCACCCCTGGGAAAGATCCTTGCTCTGTAGATTGATTGAGTTGCTCCAGCATTCTCGAAAGTCAGTGTAACCCCAAAATACCTACATATTAAAAAAAGAGAGAACTGAATTGAGCCGTTATACCCCAGGATGAATGGGGGAAACATTCAGGATTTTATGGAACCCTGTCACTGTTCATTTAAAGGGTATGGAAGCTATGAAGGATAATCAATTAGAAGCAAAAGGTCATGTTACACAAACTGAATTAGCAGAAGACAGCTGTCCAGTGCAAATCATGTACTCAGTAAGTCTATTAGTTTTTTTATGAGGATAGCTAAAGTGAATGACGGTTTTCCAGAAGATATCATTTAATCTGGCATCTCCCTGACTCCAGTAGTACTTGTGCCTCAGAGTCAGAAGGTTGTGGGTTAAAGACTCATGTCCAGACTTTGAGCTCAGGGTCTAGCCCAGGGTGGATTTTGTTGATTGGATATGCCATAAATCAAGAAATATTCAATCAAGAATAAAACTGAAAGCACACTACCGATCGAACAAGGACTTACCTAGTCTCTGCATGGCTATTTAAACACACTATGTATGCAGTAAAAAAATTATCTAGGCAAATTTTTGGAATATTCAATTGAAATAGTCATCTAAAATAATGCATGTTTTTGAGTGACAACATAATGACGTAGATTTGTATATTAAACACAGTTCCCACAAACTGTTTTACATGTATTTAAATGCATATAACTTGCACCTCGTGATGTCTCTACTCTCTTTGTATGTAAATACTGGCCATTCAAATACTAGCAACGTGCACATGCAACTGTACAAGTGTCGAAGCTTGTTTACAAAGTTACATTTGAAAAATTAACAAATTATTGTGTCATCACTTCAAATTGAGTGTGGAATATTCGAAACACCCAGTGTTTGACATATGTACATATTCACACGTATACAATATCTTTGTTGTAGTGATTCCACTACAAGTACGCTGTTGCTCTGAATGTCTTTGATTCACATTGTACGTAATTGGATACTCACACATGCGTCTCTGGTGTAACAGCTAGGAGAAGCACACACACATTCACATCGGCAGATGAGAGATTATCTTTATTTTTGATCGATGCATCATTTGATGCATGTCAAAAGTCCATTTGTCTTTAGATCTCATGTGAGAGATAAGGCCGATTCTGGCCAGGAATCTGGCCATGACGCATTTGCCATACGCGTTACAAAACTAAGGATTATAATCTTCATATGGTGTACCCACACCAGATAAAAGGCTTTGTTGCTTAATGTACTGGAAGCAATGGATAAGTGTGTTGTTAGAACTCGTGAAAATTCCAAAGAAACAGCTGCTTCTGCAGAAACGACTGGTGTGGCTCACTATGGTGTTCATGAGCCAATTGTGTGGCTCGGTACAAATCTGGTTTGGACAGTGCTGGTCTAGGTTAACACTCCATTCCAGTGCTGGGGGAGCGCTGCATATTCAGAGGTGCTGTCCTTCAGAAGAGAGGTTAAACTATGTCTGCCTGTTAAGGAGAACGTTAAAGATCCAATGACACTATGCAAAATGAGAGTGAGTTTCTCTTGGCACCCTGGCCAACAGATTTTTAAAAATGATCATTCACTTCACAGCTGGTGGTAGAATATTGCTGTGCATAAAAATTGGCTGCCACTTTCACCTAGAACTATACAGTCACTACACGTGCCAGAAACTTCTGAAGCACTTTGAGCCTTTTCAATGTGATAAAACGCTATATCAAATATAATGTGATTTTTTTGATATATTTGTTTTGTATTTGAGTTTTTTTTTTGAAGTAGATTGAAGTTTATGGAATTAATGGTGGATTAGCAACAACAACAAATTGCATGTGTATAGTGCCTTTCACGTCCCAAGGAAGGAAGGTCTTGAGACGGGCATTGAAGCTCATTGGTACTTCCTCCCCACGTGAAAGGCGGTACACAAATATAATTTCTTGTCAGTGATGAGGTAAGGGAGAGGGAGAAACAAAGTAAAACAATTTTTGAAGTGAAGCAAAGTGGATTGGAAAGTGATTTGACAACAGGAAGTGGAACGTGAGGAAGAGAATGATTGTGGCTGGAGGCACTGACTGGTAGAGTCTGTTAGTCATAATTATTTGGATTCTACCAAGCTATCTGACATGAATAAAGAAGGTTGGTAACGCAAAAGAGTCTGAATAAATCCGAAGATGTGCTAAAACATTGCAGATGGATTTTACTATAGATCAAAGTAAGATATCATTCAGCATGACAATATTTGATGAGATTTTTGACCACTAACTGACCACATTGGATTGATGTGATTCTGTAATCAAAAACATTGAGCAAGTCCAGGGATTCTTCACCTCAAGATATTGTGAGTATATGGAATAGACATCTACCAAAACGTAATACTACTTGATTCACTCAATTTTAAAGGAGCGGAAGCATGTTTGTATTGAATTGGTTTCAAGGTTATAAGGTTGAGTATAAGTGAAGCAACATTAAGCATCAACACCCTATATCTGGTGTGGGTACAATATAAAGATTATAATTCCTATGGTATTGGGTTTGTGGGTATGCAATTTGTGAAACATAACCAGCGCAATTTAAATTATGTAGGTTGTTATGTTCGATTGTACTCATTTATCTTCAGGGGTAGAGAATGATTTCACCAAGTATTATTTTCTTGGAAGTTTTACCTGTGATTATTTAACATAAATATGTTGGGTAGAGACTATTATTATATAAAATCATACATGATGTGCTGGAAGGAACAGGTTCTTGGTGGAATGAGAAACCACAATTATACCATCGTGCTTATCATCCTTATTTCCATACCTTTTTATGTTAAGGATCTGGGAAGAAATATGTAGGCACTTTATTCCTTCTAAAAGTTGCTGTTGAAATGGTAATGATGACTCACTGTATTCAGTCTGCAGGGAGCTAGGAAGTGAAGTGGAAAAACACTTTGTAGAACTGCCTAAGGAAGCTTGATAATGCATTTGGTTTAAAACACTACCATCTCACACACCTAAGTTCAAATTCAACGCAAGTACTGCGTGACGATTTTTGCTGACTATCAAAAAGCTCTCGTGAACTAGACTTGAGGGCAGTCTAATCCTAGTTGCAATGCAGAAGTGTGTCAAATTCAGCAGT